ATCCTTTGCCCGTTCTAAAATGGAGTTACCGTTGACCGTTGAACAATGAGGAGGTTAGGGATGCCGACCCTCCCTGCAGTCAAAAATCCCCCTGTAACTTACAGTTGGCCCTTCATATCTGGGGTTCCTCTGATCTGTGGATAATGTAGTTCTGTAGTATTTACTATTGAAAAAAATCCGTGTGTAAGTGGACCCATACAATTCAAACCCATGTTGTTCAAGGGTCAACCGTATTTGTCTTTTTATTGCATCTCATGTATTTTTCTTTTTTTACATCCCCAAACAACATAATACAAGATTCTTATGGTAGAGGAAAAGTCCCTAATGTAGAAGCACTCAAACCATAGTACATGTTTAGTCCTCATCTTTTCCATTGTATGGTTCCTAGTTATTAGTTGAGTGATAAAGTGAACATTCAACAAATTTAGAAGGTTTATGATTTAACACAATCTAAAGCATTTATTCCAGGAGTGATCAAGGCCCATGGTTTTTGCTGTCATTTTGTTTTTCCACTTGCCCCAAGCATTTAGTGAGAAATAGATTTAGTTCTATCCAAAGATATCTTTATTTTTTGTGTTTTCATTTTCACTGCTCTAGGAAGAATAAATTCCTATACCTATCCAATTACATATTTCCTTTAATCAGCTTTTATGTGCCTAATATTTGAAAGCATAATGATCAGAATAATGTTTAGAAACCTGGTCCAGTACTTACTGGATTTCACAGGTAACTTCTGAACCTGAATTTCCAGTTCCTGAATTTTCCTGTTAACTTGATTTAAAAGTTTGGGTCATGTCAGCCTAAAGACCATACAAATACTTAAATGATTTAGGCTCCTGAATACTTATGATTTCATTCATGTCTTATGCTAACTTTTAAGTTAACTAACCTTTTTTTTTTGAGGTAAAATAAACATAACATAAAATTTATCATTTTAATCATCTTTAAGTATACAGTTCAGTGGCACTAAGTACATTTAGATGCTGTGCAGTCATCACAACTATCCATCTTCAGAACTTTTTCATCATCCTTACTGAAACTCTGTACCCATTAAATAATAACTCCCCATTCCCTTGTCCCCACCAGCCCCTGGAAACCACTGTTCTACTTCCTATCTCCATGGTATTTGACTACTTTAGATCCTTGAGATAAGCAGAATCATTTAATATTTGTCCTTTTGTGTCTGGCTTATTTCACTTAATAATGTCTTCAACAACATTGTAAAACAACTATACTCCAGTAAAACTTTTTTTTTAAGACTCAACTTCCTCATGTATTTTATTGATTTGTTTGTTTGTTTGTTTGTTTATGGCTGCATTGGGTCTTCATTGCTGTGCACGGGCTTTCTCTAGTTGTGGCAAGCGGGGGCTACTCTTCATTGTGGTGCACCGGCTTCTCATTGCGGTGGGCTTCTCTTGTGGCTGAGCACGGGCTCTAGGTGTGTGGGCTTCAGTAGTTGTGGCATGCAGGCTCAGTAGTTGTGGCTCACAAGCTCTAGAGCCCAGGCTTAGAAGTTGTGGTGCACGGGCTTAGTTGCTCCGTGGCATGTGGGATCTTCCTGGACCAGTGCTCGAATCTGTGTCCCCTGTATTGGCAGGCAGATTCTTAACCACTGCGCCACCAGGGAAGTCCTCCAATAAAATTTAATTTAAAAAAAAGTCTTCAGAATTCATCCATGTTGTAGCCTGTGTCAAAATTTACTATTAAATTATTACTATTATGTAGCCTTTTAAAGGCTACATAATATTCCATTGTATGTACATAACACATTTTGTTTATCCATTCATCTGCTGATGGACATTTGGGTTGTTTCCACCTTTTGGCTATTATGGATAATGCTGCTATGACCATTGGTATACAAATACCTGTTTGGGTCTCTACTTTCAATTCTTTGTTGTATGTACCCAGAAGTGGAATTATTGGATCAAGTGGTGATTCCAGGTTTATTTTTTTTTAACCAACTTTGTTTTGAACTCAGTTAAATCCTCATGGTCCTTTAGTTTTTTATCTTTTTTATTTTATATCTGTCAGGGTGGGTTAAAACGAATTTGCAGTAGCTCTTTTACGCAATAGTATTCTGAGGGGAAAGTGCTAGTGTTGGTACTTAGAAGTATGCTTTGTGTACCTATAATTTGACTATTTCAAAATATGTCAGTATAAGAATAGAGTACACGTCTTGTCTTACCAGATTGGAATCACCGTTAGCTCCTTGCTACTCCTGTCAGGCACGTGGAAGCAATGTACAGAAAAAAAACAGATAAAGTAATTTTAAATCCTCTTTACCTTTTTAAAGCTTGCCTTATTTAATACCAACTCCAAGGGAGGTAGTATCTGAGTTTTGCATAAAGTTGGCTAAGTAACAAAGAGAAGGATGTTTTTCTGGCTCTGAAGCCCATGTTCTTTCTGTTATACAGCAGTTAGGTCCCTTCCTTTTTTTTTTTTTAATTTTTAAATTTAATTTTTTATTTTGGGGTATAGTTGATTTACAGTGTTGTGTTAGTTTCAGGTGTACAGCTAAGTGATTCAGTTATACATATATTATACATATATCCATTCTTTTTCAGATTCTTTTCCCATATAGGTTATTACAGAATATTGAGTAGAGTTCTTTGTGCTATACAGTAGGTCCTTTTGTTGTGCAAGAAGTTGTATTAGAGAATAGATTTCAATTACCTATAATTTAGGTTTGGTGAGAGAAGTCCCGTTTTAGAATAGATTGTGCAGAATTGGCCACAGATCTCAGGAGGATGAAATTGGCATTCTCAATAAATTTCTAAGGGAAGCTACAAGTGCAAAGCTAATATAAGTGTAAATGAAAATTCCTACACATTGCTGTGGCTTTCTTAAACTAGAAAGAGAGATTTGAAAATTTTTCCCAGAAAAATGATAATTTCTAATTTTAAAACGTATTTGTTATCTGCTGAAGCATAACTTAGCCTTGAAGTCTTTCTCTATAAAATATAAACTCTGGTAAGAAAATGGTGACCATTCATAGAGGGGTAAAGAAGGTGGGGAATGTAGGGTTTTTAATGATAGAGGCCAATGTAAAATTCATGTGAGAACACTAATTGCTCTGGTGATGACAGTGTGAGAGCTTTCGGTTGGCAGATTTCCGTTCACTTTGCAGCGTTTTTGCTACTTAAAGGTCAGTTAAACAGACTAGGAAATTGCCAAAATTGGGGTAGTTGAAAAAGTAGTAACCATTAAACTGTCTCCTCTTCTTAGAAGCCTGCTGTGACCTTGCCAGGCAAAACTAATTGCTCCTCCCTGCATGCTTCCTTCCCTTTAAACATTGTGTTTGTCTCCCTTGGCTAGTTTGTGAACGTCTTCAGGGCAGAGGTGGCATGTCTTAACTCTGTATTTTCAGTGCTCAGTATAATTGCTTACACACAGAAGACCACTTTAAACATTGGCTGAGTCTCTTCCTAGTGTGAGACTTAGGCACAAATATAATAGCATGAGAAGAAGCAGCTACTGTCATTATCAGAAGAGAGGGGATCTGAATCAGAGTTGGGATGTGGCCAAGAACTGAGGAAGCCACCGCAAGGGAGACCAGAGAGATTTTTTTGTTCCGTGTGGTACATCCAGCTGTTTCGTTGGCTCATTTCCTCGATGCTTTGGCCCATGACCTGAAAATCTCTTGTTTACTTAGCAGGCACTGAGGCATGAAATTTGTGGGGTGACAGAAGTATGTAATTTTAATACCATATAATACCATGTAGTACATTTAATACAGTGTAATAAGCCACAGTAGGCACATGTCCATAGGGTATTACTCTGTGAAAGAGGGACTGGGGGAACCCTTCATAGAAGGTAGCACGGTAGCTGAAGAAGAGAGAAGGGAGAATACCTCCTGCCAGCAGTCTGTGAAGAGAGGCTTAACCTCCCAGCACAGTAGATGGAGTCCAGGAGTGGAGGAAGGGGGATGCGGCTGGCGCAGGTGGGGCACATGATGGGAAATAAGGTGGAGAGATGACTGGGAGAAACCTTAATCTCTGCTTTTGCTTTTCGTCTCCTGGCTTCTCTTTGTGCTAGTCTATGGAATTTTTGCTTTAACCATGAGTAATGGGGAGCCACTGGAGTATTTTACACAGCAGAATGATTGACATGATCAGAAACAAAGGCAGACTGGCAATCATGTAACCACATAGAGGATGAATTGAAGGGCAGAATCTGGAGTTGGGTAGATGGATTTGGAGACTGTTGCAGTATCCAAACAAGAGATAAAGAGTTCCTATTGTATGATTTCATTTATATGCTATGTCCAGAAGAGGCAGATTCATAGAGACAGAAAGTAGATTAGTGGTTGCTAGGGTCTGGGTTTGGGTAACGGGGAGTGATGACTGATGGGTACAGGTTTTCCTTTTGGGGTGATGAAAGTATCCTGGAATTAGATAGTAGTGAGAATAGTGCAACTTTGTGAATGTACTTGAAAACCCACTGAATTGTATGTTTTTAAGTTGTGGATTTGATGGTGTGTGAATTATATCTCAATGGAAAGAGAGAGAGAGAGGAAGAGTTCCTGAAACAAGCAGGAACAGTGAGCATAAAGAAACCTGAGATGGGTTGGAGAGAAACTCAGTGGTCCAGAATTGACAGGACTTGGAGAGGGAATACTGGCAAGGTTCAAAGTGAAATAGAGGCTGGCCCTGCAGTTTCTAATCTGTATGATTGAATTGATGGGGAAGAAAATTCTGGAAAAAGCAAGTGTGTAGAAACATATAATGAATTGTGTGAAATGTTTTGAATGTGTAATCAAGGCAAGCAGTTGACGGTAAAGGCCCAGATTTCAGGAGAGACTCTGGGACTAGGAAAAGAAGTGAGTACGGACGGGATGTTGATGGAGGAAGTCAGTCGGGCTGCTGGTGGATGACATCTTGCCGCCCACCCTCTTTGGGAAGTAATGTCCCATTGGCTCCTTGTCCTTCAAGCTGATGTACAGGTGTGGTGCTGGTGGTGGTGGTTTTTAAATAAAGCTGAATCTTTACATTACTTTTCAGGCAGAGGCAAGACTGGCAGCAAAACGGGCTGCCCGAGCAGAAGCAAGAGATATCCGCATGAGAGAACTGGAACGGCAACAAAAAGAGGTAATTTGGGTGGATAACCCTGATTTAGTGTTGGTCTCAAAAATATCAATACTTGGCTAGTTTCCGTCTGAAGTAAAACTGGTTTCTTCTGAAACACTGGGAATAGAATAACCTGATGTATATATTTTAACAAGCCATTTATGTCAGCAAGTTAAATGCAATATTTGTTTTAAATCATAACAGCAAACACATACATAGCTCTTACTCATTATAAGTTATTATTGTGTAATAAGTGCTTGCAACAGCTAAAGTAGGCTTAGCGATGACAAAGTTATTTCCTGTGGTCCTAAATGTCCTAGAATTTTGACTAATTATGTTATGATGTCTGCATAGTAAAACTGAAATCATACAACCTTACAGTTTGTAAGCATATTTAATAATAGAAGAAAATATTCATCTAAGAAAATGAAAAAAAAAGCACAACTGTAAGACGGGTGGAACTCCAGTTTTGTGTTACAAAAACTAGTATCTGTATATAGGTCAAAAACTACTGGAAAGAAGTGATTACTACCAGTACTTTGGTTTATCTATGGTGGAATTATGATTGGTTTTATGTTCTTATGCTTTTCTGTAGTTAATACATTTCAATATGTTTTAATTATCGGAAAGAAAAGCAAAAAAATTTTCTAAGTAGGCATATAGAAATTGGGTTGCTTTAAAATAAAACAAATACTCTTTTTTACTCTTTCCTTCTGACATTGACCTAGCTCTGAAAATTCCCATAAAAAATATTTCTGATGTTGTATTAGTACGAAGTGGGGTGTAAAACCTGCAGGGCAGTATTAAACACTTTAGAGGTTGGTGGTGGATCTTCTGTTAATGTGTTAAAGAGATGTGCATAGAGTCCATATTGTCACAGCTCAAAAACAAAACCAAAAGCAGTTAATATATTGCTAAATTTTTTAACCTCATAGCTTCAAATATGAATGCAATTCTTGGCTTGAAATGAAAATGTGACAATGTATTGTCTTTTATACTCCTAAAATTATAAGGATACAGTTATTAAGTATAAGTTTTATTTATAGTTCTCTAAACTACAGAGGACCATATATCTCTATTATTGAGCATATTTAGCTTAGTATGTTCTGTATTTTGAATGTGTAACAACTTTGAATTAACAGTCATTGCTGTTCAGGGCAAATGTATGTGATTAATTTAAGACTTTCATAGAATGCAGTATGTTGGATGCTTTAGTTTATGAAACTTTTGCATTTGTAGCACTCTTATCATTCCTTTGATCGGAAATGGGGACAGATTCAGAAGTGGCTGGTAGGCCAGGATTGCCTGCCCTGCATGTTGTGATCAGTTGCTGAAATATGCAGTCTCAAAGTAAAACATTGACTAATCGTTTGCCAAGTAGGAGTGTTTGTCATGTTTGAACCTAAAGGTCAGAGAGTGTCTCTTCTGCCTGTAGTGGACCAAGTGTGTGCTTGGAGTGCAGCCATTTCTGTTCTAGTTACAGCCTCACACTCGTCTCATGAATGCTCCTGACCAAGAAAGATTGAGTAGATGAATGTGTTTTCTTTCTATGGGTTTGTTCTTCTGTCCCTCAGATTTGTCCCTCTACCCCTCTCATTCCTTCCACCGCCCTCCACCCCGCCTCTCCTTCCCTGTTCCCTTCTTCCTTTCTCTCTTTTTTTAAAAAAACTAAGTCAGCAGGGTTTTCATTGAGGGATGACCCAAGTCATTCTTTCATTTCCTCTGAAAATTACTTTTTTTGTTTTACCATCACTCCCAAATTTGTTAGCTACAAGAACAAACTGCAACCAGTAGAGTGTTAGTTACTGTGAATCATTCTTAAATTTGAACTTTTTTCAGTGTTGATAAGTCTCCCAGCTGCCTCCTATTGCAGGGGTTGTTAGCTTGGTATGTGAATAGGCATGGGGGATGGGGCATGAAGCCTTAAAATCTCAGGCAAGGATTTGAGTATATGTATGTTTTCATGTGAAATGCCCACAGGCATTTTTATCATCAGATTCTCAGAGGAGTCTGTGATCCTAAGAGGTTAAGAACCACTATCTAATTGTTGCTAAACAAGCAACTTGCATAAACAAATCCCTTCTGGAATAGCATTCTAAGGTATACCCAGAATGAAAATATTTATGACTGTATTGACCTACACATTTAAAACTTTATCATACTTCTCATTGTGATATTTTAGAAAAGAGAGAAAAAAGATGTTTGGTTGCTTAAAATTAAGCGAATCCTCATGTATGTGTTTGTTATTTTGGAGTGGAACCTGTCCTTTCTTGTTACTAAAGCTAGCTTAATGATTTTTATTTAGAGTGTCTTCTGCATGTAACTGGCTTAATATTACTGATGATGTCTTAAAAATGTTTGGTGTGAATATAAGAAATCGGTTTTATTTACAAAAATGGAAATATTAATTTCTTCTTTTAATTATGTATAATAGTTCTCAAATTAAATTGCCTAAGAGTTTAATGTCTTAGGGCAGACCAAAACATTAAATGAGAAGAAAAGTCTAAGTTAGAAGTTTAATATGTGATTCCTATGTTTAAAGGCCATGAAGATAAACATATTTTTTTATCTCTGTGAAAGGTGTGCAGGTCAGGCAGTGAACATGCTAGATTTTCATGGAAGGGGGTTAGAGGCTTAAAACGCAGGTGGCAACTAACCCAAGTCTTCAGTAATAGGTAGGATTTGGACATGCAGGGAAGGTGGGGTTTAGTTTCGGATGGGAATAATTAACACTCTAACCCCTTCTGACACTTGCTTTTACTGCTTTAAAACTGATTTTTCCTCTCACTTCTTACCTTATCCTTGTCTCTCTGGCTGCTTTCTGTCTATGAGCTTATAGTATAAGTTGGCATGTGATAATCACAATATAAAATATAAATTACTAATAAATTTATAATAAATAATGTATATACAAACAATTGGATTGTCAGTTATTAGAAGGGAGAATCTTCCTATATTAATAATTTCTCCTAATTTTATTACTTTTTCGTCTGGGGGTAGGCTGTTGGGCTGTGAATAGGGAACCCAAGGGCGTGAGGCTCAGGAATGAAGCTATTGTTGAGTGCATATCTGTGTGCCAGCACTGTGCTCATGCTTTTTATATGTGTGTTCGTTCCCCATTATAGGATAGGTACATTATCTCCATTTTATAGATAGGTGATAAAGGATTGGTGAAGTAAACAACTTGCTTCGTTGTGACAGACACAGGGATTCTAAGGGATGAGAGGGTGCCCCATGTGCTAATAATGGAGCGGGAGGTAGAAGGACCACGAAGAAAAGGGCCTATGTCTCTCCGGGCTTCCAGTTGGTCTTAGGTTAGCCAGTGCTTCTGTTCATAAACTGGATGTCTGAAGCAGTGGCGTGTTGGTGACCTGAAAGAGTAAATGCAGTTTCTCAAGTTTCCTAATTTAAAACTGAGGGAATGGCTGCAGCCTTGAATTAAGTATTTGTTGTCAGAGAAGATGGCCAGGTGTATGCACAGGGTTGTGGGCTTTTTTTTTTTTTTTTTAATAAAACCACTTCATCCTCACTCCAAGTGAACTTTTAAAAACAAAATATGGGGCTTCCCTGGTGGCGCAGTGGTTGGGAGTCCGCCTGCCGATGCAGGGGACACCGGTCCGTGCCCTGGTCCAGAAGGGTCCCACGTGCCGCAGAGCGGCTGGGCCCGTGAGCCACGGCCGCTGGGCCTGCGCGTCTGGAGCCTGTGCTCCGCAACGGGAGAGACCACGACAGTGAGATGCCTGCGTACCGCAAAAAAAACCCAAAAAAACAATATGTTTTATTTCCATTAATTTAACTTGAATGTATCAAAACATAATTTTCCAGAAAGCTTTAACGATAAATATCCATCTTTAAAGGCATTGTCCTGTTCGTTCAGCTTTGGATCCTTTAAACTAATAAGGAGACTCCCAGGACAATGAAAATGTTTTGTTTTCCTGACGTGGAAGAGAGGGATACTCTGCCTTGTAATTGGTACCTAAGAACACAGTTTGCTGAATTTTTTTCTATTGGCTTTCTGATGCTAGTAATTCAAGAAAAGCCAATTGGCAGTTTCAATACTATCCCAGAAATACCTGCAAAAGGAAGCTTGTTTTTTTTTCTTTTTTTGTATTCCAGAGGAGGAGAAAGCTCTGAGTAAAAACCGGGATACCTTGCCATTTTCTTCATGTTCTTTCTATGTAATCAGTCTGGATTTAGCCGGTATAGGTTCAATGGTCTGGTGAGTTAGAAGATATGAATGCTGATCCCAGCTTTCTGACTTTGTTGATTCCTAATCTTTTTGTGCTGCAGGGTTTTTTGTACTGTAAAATGAAGGGATCAGACTAGATGATCTTTTTTTTTTTTGGCACGCGGGCCTCTCACTGTTGTGGCCTCTCCCATTGCGGAGCACAGGCTCCGGACGCGCAGGCCCAGCGGCCATGGCTCACAGGCCTAGCCGCTCTGCAGCATGTGGGATCTTCCCGGACCAGGGCACGAACTTGTGTACCCTGAATCGGCAGGCGGACTCTCAACCACTGCGCCACCAGGGAAGCCCAGACTAGATGATCTTTAAGAATCCTCTAGCTGTTAAAAATAATTCTAGAGTTGGTGCTAGGGTCTTTTCTTTTATACAAGGATTTCCTTCTGTTTCTTCCTATTTGCCACTGTGCAAAAGTATTCCAGGTAGAGGGAGTAATTTAAGACTACCTGAATACCTGCCTTTCTGTAGAAGAATAGCGCTCCATGGCAGACTCTTAGTAAAATGTGTGCTTTGAGTCTTTTTTGGTGTAATAAGAATTTGCTTTGAGCTTCCCTTACTGTTTGTATGGTTGCCACTAGCCATATGTGGATAATTAGGTTTGGATTTAAATTGATTAAAATAAAAAATTTCTCTCCTCAGTTGTACTTCTAGCAGTTCAAGTGCTCAGTAGCCACATGTGGCTAGTGGCTACCATACTAGACAGCACAAACATAGAGCATGTCCATTGTCACAAAGTTCTGTTGGATAGTGGTTGTTTAAGGGGTCGTTTATGACTATGGAATAAACTGTATTCTCTCAGTTTAAATTAACCAGCCTGTATGGTTTACATTTTATTCTGTAGTTCTTCTGAACTCCTTTTAGGCCATTTTTTTCAAATGGGGCTAAAAAGAAAGCTGTGTAAATCTAGGGGTATATCAATACTTAATAAGATATTGTTATTTAGGATTATTTTTATAATGGGTATAATTAAGAATAAATATGAATTCATCTGTCTGCTGCATCTTTAATGGGCTGTGCTCTTTAGAGACAGGTTTTTAATTTCTTTTTAATTAATTTTTTATTGGAGTAAAATTGCTTTACAATGTTGTGTTAGTTTCTGCTGTACAATTAAGTGAATCAGTTATATGTATCTCTATATCCCCTCCCTCTTGGACCTCCCTCTCCCCCTTCCCCCACCCATCCCACCCATCTAGGTCGTTGCAGAGCACCAAGCTGAGCTCCCTGAGCTATACAGCAGGTTCCCACTAGCTATCTGTTTTACACATGGTAGTGTATTTATGTCAAACCTAATCTCCCAATTTGTCCCACCCTCCCCTTCCCCCACTGTGTCCACATGTCCGTTCTCTACGTCTGCATTTCTGTTCCTGCCCTGCAAATAGGTTCATCTGTACGATTTTTCTAGATTCCATATATATGCATTAATGTACAATATTTGTTTTTCTCTTTCTGGCTTACTTCACTCTGCATGACAGACTCTAGGTCCATCCACATCTCTACAAATGACCCCGTTTCTTTCCTTTTTATGGCTGAGTAATATTCCATTGTACCACATCTTTATCCATTCATCTGTCAATGGACATTTAGGTTGCTTCCATGTCCTGGCTGTTGTAAATACTGTAGCAGTGAACACTGTGGTACATGTGTCCTTTTGAATTATGGTTTTCTCAGGGTATATCCCCAGTAGTGGGATTGCTGGGTAATGTGGTAGTTCTATTTTTAGTTTTTTAAGGAACTTCCATACTGTTCTCCATAGTGGCTGTATCAATTTACATTGGCACCAATAGTGCAAAAGGGTTTCCTTTTCTCCACACCCTCTCCAGCATTTATTGTTTGTAGATTTTTTGATGATGGCCATTCTGACTGATGTGAGGTGATACCTCATTGTAGTTTTGATTTGCATTTCTCTAATAATTAATGATGTTGAGTATCTTTTCATGTGTAGAGGCGGGTTTTTTAGAGTGCTCTTGTGTAGTAGGTGGAATGAAAAGAAAGGGTAGAATAAAGATTGAGCATTAAACCATGTATGTCACCCTAGTACCCCAAATAATACTGGGAGGGGGCATGTAGAATTAACTTGCCTGTGTAGCACAAGACTCTTTATACTAACCAAGCTAACTAGCCTAGAACTGGTTACCACTTAATAAGCTGTACCTACTCTGCTGGGCTAACACACATGCTCCCCAAACTTTTGTGGTATATCACCTGATAATCAAAGAAAGGGAAGAAACTTGCTTGGCTCCTTACAGATTACATGTGTCTATTACATAACAAAAATGTGAGTCGGTGATGAATTCCTAAAGATCAGAACACCATATTGAATTATTGAATCATACTGGTGCTTATAAACCAACTTCTGAACAGATTTGATCAAATGCATCAATGTACACAGCACATGACAACCAAGAGTTTTTTGGACTTGTATTCAAAGATCATGACCAAAATAAAACATTAAATTGTGGTGTTTCAGTTGAATTACTGTTTCTGGATTTGAGATGAATGGTCAGGCATAGCCGTCTGCTCTGCCTGCATGATGATAGTGCTGTATCGTCATGGGGTGTTGAAGGATTGATGCATTTTGGAAGAAGCAGTGTTGATTAGCTATGAACTCAGCTGGACAGTTTTGTGTAGATTCTTAGTCAATGCAAATTACTTTAACACTTGGGACTTTGAAATTCTGATCAGAAGTTTCTTACACTTGATTAGGTTCTAGGGACTAGTCATTTAATTTCACGACTCTGTACTTAATGCTCCAGTGCTAATAGCTGAATATGGAAAAGTTTAGAATTACGTTTAATTAGTCAACTGTTTGGAGGTTTTTTGTTTTTTTTAACAATCTTCATAAGGCATAACTTTGAGTAACTATCAATTCTGAAATATTTATTCAATTTCTTCTAATTTTAAGTAGTTTTTCATATTAACAACACACAGTCAGGGGCTATTTCATTTAGTTGTTCTCTTCTTTTCCAGTTAGAGTGGTAAAAGAAAAAGAAAAAACTTTTTTTGCGATGAGCACAAAATTATAACCCAAATCTTTTTAAAGCAACACATTGTCACCTTAAACCACATCTGTAATAAAATAAACATTTCTTCCTGCCTTGGGTAAACATCATAATGAAAAAGTAGATCACAGTCTGCTTTTAATGCTGACCTCAATTTCTGTTGAAGTATACTTGCTTATTTTTATCTTGGTACATTGAACTCCCTTGGTCATATATAGAGTACCTTCTACAAGTGGTCAGATATATCTATCTATCTATCCATAGATAGATAGATAGACAGACAGACAGATACATGATAGATACACACACACACTTGTTCAAATAAAAACACTGCCAAGATTATTTTTACTTTCTTTCCAACTGAGGGACATGGCAGCCCCAAACCCAGCTTTTGAGGCTGAGCTGTCCCTACCGCCTGCTGTGGGGAAGGTGCTGCTGTGCTCAGCTGTTCTGACCAACAGCCCTCAGCTGAGTGATTAACTCTCCATGTACTTTCTCCTTTCCCAGGATGAGTTGGAAAGGGCCAGATATTCCCACCGGTCCAGTCATCATCGTCCTTCTCTGGTTTGTAATAACCTACAAACTTGCCTCTAATACTTTTCCTCATCAACTTGCCATAGTCACTTACACACCTTTACTATGTTTGTTTTTATTTTTATCAGGGAGTTGAGGATGCGTTGTCCATTCGAAGTCTTGGCAGTCACAGGGTTGGTATTTTAAGTTGTTTACACCCCCATAGCAAAGCTATCCCTTTGCCTTTTTTTTTTTTTTTTTTTTTTTTTTGTGTGTGTGTGTGGTACGCAGGCCTCTCACTGTTGTGGCCTCGCCCGTTGCGGAGCACAGGCTCCGGACGCGCAGGCTCAGCAGCCATGGCTCATGGGCCCAGCCGCTCCACGGCATGTGGGATCTTCCCGGACCAGGGCACGAATCCGTGTCCCCTGCATCGGCAGGCGGACTCTCAACCACTGCGCCACCAGGGAAGCCCCTGCCTTTCTTTAAAACACAGAAATATTGGCAAAGCTATTTCATTGGAAAATGATGCTTTCAAATTATTGCTGTAAGTAAATCAGTTCTAAAATCATGAATATTTTCATCTATTAACATATATATTCACTTTCTATAAAAGGACTTTTGATTTTGGAAAACCATCACAAAATAATAAGGTTAATTTTATAGAATAACATCGGCATGGTTCTAGCTTTCAGATTTTTCCTACTTTCATATTTTTTAAAATGACAATTTATTAAATAAAATTTATTATTTTGGAGCATGGGTGACTAATTATAGTTTTAGTCAGTGGGAAAATTGAGCTTCTGATTTTAAAAATGCCTGTCTTATCATACTTATAGAAATTATCATGCTTCAACATTTTGATTAACATTTTGTAGTTTGTCTCAGGTTTTTAGCGTACATCATTGTAAATCAAGATAAATGAGAAATCGCTCATCAAAGGCTTGCATATTGTGCCAGGAAACTGAGTCTCTTCTTAAAGAATTGTGCTTTAAACCTTAGAGCAATGCTTTTTTAATTTACACATTGATAATATTGTATATGTACTTACATCTAGATTTTTCATCAGTAAAATTATCTTTCTTGCTAAGGTCTATATTTGTTAATTCTCCCCAGGTCTAGTTTTCTTCCTATCATGTATAATGTATAAAAATACACTATATTAAACTGAGTGTGTTCTGGTATACTAATTATTGATGTGTTTGTATTCTTAAATAGTCTTTTACTCTGGTTATATTTCTTATTGGTGAATGTAATCTACTGTCTTTTTAGAATAAGTTAGTAAACTAATTCTTGAATCATAAGTATTTTGGTTAATTATAAAGATTTAGATTTATAAGAATATTAAAAAGCCTTTATAGAAATCTAATCAGTAGTTTAAGAATGATTTTGCAGGGGAAATACTTTTTTTTGTTTGTTTTTGTTTTGTTTTATTTTTTTTTAACATCTTTATTGGAGTGTAATTGCTTTACAGTGGTGTGTTAGTTTCTGCTTTATAACAAAGTGAATCAGGGCTTCCCTGGTGGCGCAGTGGTTGAGAGTCCGCCTGCCGATGCAGGGGACACAGGTTCGTGCCCCAGTCCAGGAAGATCCCACGTGCCGCGGAGCGGCTGAGCCTGTGAGCCATGGCCCCCGCGTACCTCAAAACAAACAAAAAAAAACCCAAAGTGAATCAGCTATACATAAACATATATCCCCTTATCTCCTCCCTCTTACATCTCCCTCCCACCCCTCTAGGTGGTTACAAAGCACCAAGCTGATCTTGCCGAGAAATACTTTAAGAAAAACTTGTCATGCTTCTCCCTGGAGATATTGTTTTTTTTCTCACAGGGAGTTAGTCAACAGAAGCTTAAAAGTTGAGCCTTAAGGGCTTTGAAAATAATCCCATCTTTCCTCTTTTCAAAAAAACGTATGAGTTTTCCCTTTACTTTTCATTGTAATGTTCATAGTGTGAAGTTTCACACAGTTTTTATCAAGCAAATTATTTGTAAATTTGTATGGAAAACTTGATTATATATTAGTTTAACCTAATGGTAAAACCATCCAAGTTCAACCTAATTTAGGGGCCTTTAAAACATCTGCAAACAAACAAAACAGAAATCTGCAATTAAATAAATAAGGAATTGTTTATCCAGGGTGTCTATAAAGTAATGAGGTTGATTTTCATTTCATGGAAATTATATCATTAAATAAATTTAAGATATAACTAGAACTCTCACAGTATTTTATTTCATTATGGTAATTATGAAAATTTGCTGTTATGGGAAAAAGAGTAAAGCTCCTAATTAAAAAAATCAGTATGCAAACTTAAAGATTAACAAAAAATTTTACCCTGTAGAGGAGACTTTGGAACTTTACTGTGTGTGAGTGTACATTTAGCACATTTAAAATATTTAGACTTTCCTGGAAATGTCTGATTTGAAATGAAAGCTCACTAATAACATAGTTTAAAAGAAATGTAATTGAGATAAGAGTTTTTTTCTTTTTTCTCTTAACTAGATAATATTGGGAGTTCTAAGTTTGCATGAGATTATTTGCTTTTTAAAGTAACTTTACCGTCTACATTAAACTGAATAAATATGTAGACAACTTTTGTTCTCTGTAAAAATAATTGTGATGGTTTAAAACACTGACCTAAATTTTATTGGGATTTGCTATATTATTTGGGGGGTTTTGGTATTTCTCTGCCAGTTTTTTTTTTTTTTAACTTATGAGCTGTATATCAAAATGTCTAAGACTTTTGGACCTTGTATTTGATATATGAACATTAGATATATGTACCTGGATATGAGGCAGATGTATTTATGGTTTTATGCCACATTCTTAGGACTTTGATCTTTCCTTTTGTCCAGTTAACTTTCAGATACTGCTTTCTTGAAAGGTGTCCTGCCAGAAGCTATTTGGGCTGGAGATGGTAACAGTGTTATAGACATTCTCCATAAAAATAGAAAGAGCAAAGATAGTTCAAGACTGAATGGTAGGTTTGGGGAAGGAAGATTAAATCAAAGCCCTGAGTCTAGAACTGAAACAATCTGTTTCTTTAAAAAACATCTACCTTAAAAAAAAAAAAAAACTTACAAAGTGCTTGGTCACTGCTTTATACAGTGAAATACAAGAAGACTATAAGGAAGAGATCCAAAATTAGAAGATGAGGTGATCTTGAATCAGAGTGGTAGAGATACATTGCAGTTTTAATTGGTGGAGATTTTTACTGTTTTTTTTATCAGTTCCTATTTATATATCAGTTGCCTTAGTATAATTTTTATGAAGTTAATTTTAATATGCTTGCAATTTGTGTTTTGTCACTTACTCCTACACTGTTTAATTCCATGGAAGAACCCATCGAAGGACGTAATGGGGACACATTGGAGCAGAGCCAGTACACCCAAAAGGAAAGGCATGGTGTGTAGCCCAGAGAAATGTGCCGTGTTAGTATTGTGCGTTCACTGTTGACTCACAGAGTCCTGGGGGCTTGAGTAATAGGTCCATTCTAACAGAAATGAACACCTGCTGAACTTTGTTTCTACAACCTGTTTTCTGTACTTTTTAAAAATTTAATTTCCAAGTGAAAAGTTTGAGGTAACTTTTTCTGAATGTTAAAAAAAACATTTTTGGATAGATTATAATAGCAAGTTTGGAAACATTTTATTTAGCTAGAGCCCTTAATATTTTCAGTTCTCCCTCCTTTGATGAATCATTTGTTTTTAAATAACATAAATACCAACTGGCACATATTGGAGGATTCTTTTTGTTTACTCAGTTGTTCTAGTAGCAAGTGGGTTGTCCAAGTTATGGATTTTTTCTACCAGATTCAGAAATTTTTAAAACTACCTGAGGGAATTCCCTGGCGGTCCAGTGGTTAGGACTCCGCTCTTCCAATGCCAGGGCCTGGGTTCAATCCCTGGTTGGGGAATTAAGATCCCACAAGCGGTGTAGCATGGCCAAATAAATAAATTAATTAACCTGTATGAGCTCTGCATTGTATTTTGGAAAAGGAAAATCAAAATAGGTCAATTTCAGTTCAACTTGTTAAATCTTAAGCTTTTGCAAAAGGCCATTGGTGTTACAGGGAGGATGAGAAGAACTAAGACATGACTGACCCCGTCAATGAACTTATCTGGTTGGGAGAATGGAATAGTTTATATGAAAGAATGTGTGACTTGAGAAATACATGTTTTGGTCATGGGGTTTTTTTTAAACAAAAAAGATATTTTGTTAACTGAGAAAAGACGTTAAGTGAAACTTCCATAGAGAAGGAACTTTATTTTCAGTGAAATGTTATTCACCACAGTGACATTTTACCATTACACATCATTTACCACCAAAGGCACACCCTTAGGCATTTTAGAAAATTCTGGATAAACAAGATTTTTTTTACACATGTAATAACACTCTTTATATTCTGTTTTCAAGATAATATAAGAAAAGCATGCAAATGCAGATATTTTGCTCCAGCACTTTTTAGTATTTATTGCAATATCATTTTCACTGAATTTACACTGGTGGTAAAATTATACCACTTAGCCTTATACTTATGAAGTATATTTTCGGGGGGTCCTGCAATATCTTTTGTACATGACCATCTCATTGGGCATGAAGGGAAGGCCTTTGTTCTATCTGAACTATTATTTTAATGCTTTATTAGAACTACACTATATAATTTGATCTTCTAGTGTATTTTAAGCTTTTTAAAATTGCGACCTCTATAAAAGGAATGCATTTTACACCATAATCCAGTATACATATGCAGACATATGCCTGTGTGTTTGTATGTACATAAGTATATAAAATATATTATAGAAACAGAAGTTTCACAAAATAATATTTACTCTTACTGTACATGATAAACTCTAGTATTTTCTCTTCTATTTTATTTTTTTTTTAATGCTGGTTGAACCCATAAATTGATTTTATGAACTACTAATGAGTTGCAGTCCACACTTAGGAAAACATTACTTTAGATCAGGTTCTTGAATAGTGTTCCCTAGAATCCTAAATGGGTATAAAAGTTGCCAAAGAAAGATATTTTTACCAAACTACCTGAGGAACTTGTTTATTGCTTTTGTTTTATGCATTGTTTTATTGTTTTGTACATTGCTCTTCTGGGTCAGATTGCTTAAAAAAATCTGAGCTAGAATGCTTAAAAAATAAAGTTAGGAAACCACAAATCTGAGTAGTTAGTTACTATTTAATTCAGTTTCTTGGATTTGAAATGTGGTGTTACACATGTTATTTTTGTAAAGACCCTACGTGAAATGTGGTTTTTCTGGTCTTGTCATAAATGTATGTAATCCACACTTTACTCTGGCCAAGTTTCTAGTTTTGTTCACTGTTTTTCATAGAGAAAGTTCTTGAGGAAGGAAGTTTTTCAGGTGTGTGCACAAGCAGATACAAGAGAACTCTCCCCCTTTTGATGCCGCAATTGTTTTTTTGCTTGTTTGCTTTTTGTTTTTGTTTTTTTTGTAAGCTTTATTATACTAGTTATGTGATCCTGCTTCATTGCCTCTCCATGCCTTGCTTTTGCCATGTTTCAAATAATGGAAAACGATGGTGACAGACACAATAAGAAAAAGTAAAACATCTTTTGACTTCAGAATGCTTAATTCCTGCATTTAAAGGCTTCCTTGGGTGTTTTGTGCTATAGTGTACTGGGATGAATCATCTCACCATTACTGATTATAAATTCTGTTTTTGAAAGAGAACATGCAGTTTTTGCTGTACGTATAGTTTAGCAATAACCTATACTAGGAAAGAATGAGGGGGAAGAATATTCTTTAATTCAAATGTCACAGCCTTTGTGTTTAATAATTTTGGGCTTTTAAAATACTGCTGGATTTTTAATAACTTTATGAATGTTACTTTTTCCCCTCTTTATATCTCTGATTTTGGAAATACAACCAACTTTCACCTTTTCCTGAAATCCAGTATGATGCTTTCAAGGATACATCGTCAAGACTTTCATCATTAGTATGTAGTGCATAACTTCATGTTAAATGTAGAGTTTTACTTTATAAACACCTGATGATGCTAATCATAGATTATGACTTTTTCATAGGTTTGTTATGATGTTTGGGGGAAATGTATGACTAACAAAGCAAAATCTAGTGTTGTGCAATTGTGGCATAATTTAGCACTTGAATAACTTTGTCTTTTAGAATATCAGGATCAGATAAAAATTATTTGCTTCCCTATTCAGGACTAAGATTGGCAGTAGTATCTTTTCTTAAAATAATGAGCCACCCAGCTGACACATACTCATTGACCTGGAAGACATGTTTCCAGCAGTGTTTTTATACATACTGAACTAAGGCAGCACAGGCCCTACTGTGTTTCATGTTCTGTGTCACAAGCCAGCAGGTGTGAAAGCATCCAGCAGTGACAGATGACAACTGAAGCATCAGTTACATCCACTCATTTTTTGCTTGATTTGGTTTTTTTATGGTATGTCATTTTGGCCAAGGAAGTTTAGTTATCGCATGTTTTTCTTGGGTTAATATGTCAATAGATTGCCTGAGTTGCTAGACTATATCAGCAGCTCTTAAATGTTCAGGGTAATATATAAAAGGAAAGATATGCATATTCTAAAAAGAAAAATGAGTGTATAATTACTGATTCAGGATCTAGCTGTGCATGTTTCAGATGATTTGCGTAGAGCAGACTGTTAATAGCTAGGACCCTTCTAGCTGCACCTCCTCATTACAGGCCAACGGTGCATACCTAGATTGGACTTCTTGTCTACCAATGGACCAGTTTAGTAGTATTGCTGTCCTCTATCCCCTCACATACACTTGGCTCTGTACTCCTAGGAGAAATTATGTGTTGAGACGGTGCTATCTTCAAAGGACTCAGATGTCAGATTATTGTCTAAGGATGCTGCTGCTACTCGAGAAAATCCATACATACCATGTTGGCTGCTTTCCTCTGAGCAGCACATGCTGTGGGACCACTAACTTGGGTTAAGAGGACTGACTGTCTTGGGCAGTACAATGTTACGTTTTCTGTTCTCAATCTTGTTTTGATTGATGAACGGGATTGCTTTTTGGCCTTTAGGTAAGGAGGACTGTGGAAGGAAGTAGACTCTCTTGTGACTCATACCTTTATAAAGAAGATAGTCCCATGGGCAGGGGCTCAAATGAGGTGTGGGGTGAGGGTCCCCACAAATATCCTGCCTGGCTCTGAGTCCTAATTAAGTTTTTAGTTGACTAGACACTGAGCTGGATGGCACAGGGGAGGTGAGGGGGAATGCAGGTGTGTAGAGAGGCTGTGTGTCTTAGCCAGTCAAGGGCAGTGAATCATTTACTAACAGGTGGGAAATAGAGTGCCTGTAGGTTACTCTGTCTCAGGTGGATCGTTCTGTGTATGATTTTAAGATGAATTTATTAAATTATTTTTAAACTTCACTATATGATCCTTGTATTCAATATTTACTTCCAGAATCATTCTGACAGTCACTCTGATGGAATGAAGAAGAGATCTTCTGGTTCTCATAAAGACCCACTGGTTAGTTCTGTTGTGTCTCATATCACAGTATTTTGTGTGACTGTAAAATTCCCTGATTACTTTTACAGAACTGAAGAATTATGACTGCACTGGTGTGCTCTTAAGGCATTATTGAAACTTGATAATATACTGAAACATGACTTATCAGAACTGATTTAAAAATAATTTTGTTTTCATTTACAAGATTTAATATCAAGTTAATATATCTAACCCTAGTGGCTAGCATTAGGAAAGTGTCCCACGAAGTTCATTAACAATGTATTTTCATGTATGAACTGTCCTTTGGAGGACTATACCTTAAGAATAGGCTTAGTGAGATTCTTATACCTATTTTAGAAATTTGAATTGATTTAGTTGTGGTATTATAAGTAGTACCAAAGTCACATATAGGTTTCATTCTGAATGATTGTTTTTATAGATTTTATAATTTTGGGAACTTGAAATTAATTTTCTGGTAGAAACAATAAAGTACACAATGGCAGAGTTCCCATGCTGTCTTGCAGAAGACTCTTCAACCAATAACGTAATTAAACTATGGAACTAATAGTGCTCTCCATTCCAGCAGACCTTGCTAAACATTTCTGTGGAGGAAAAAATGTCTAGAATGCCCATTTGGGGTGCTAGGAACACCTCTTTCCTGTCAGGTTGCTCCAGCACTGGCAGAGGAAGTACAGTCCTAAGCTCCCTGCTAACTCAAGGTTCCCATGGGCAGGGTTCTGACCATTAGTGGGGTGGAGAGAGGGTTGGGAAGCTTTGGCTGGTAGCAGTGAGGAAGGGGGAGAGAATGAAATGGAGAGGATATTAGTGAGATGCCATGGTGGGGGCAGTGTTGGGAGCTCTGGGGAGAGGTGAGTCCTGGTGCCTCAGGCAGGGCCAGGAGTTTTGAAAAAATAAATTTAATGATTTCTGTGGCATTGCTAAATAGATTATAAAAGTGGTAATTATTCATTCATCCTGGGTTTTTCAAGGACATTCCTAAGTATGACATGAGAATAAATCATTTATTATTTCCATTCCATTTTGTCTGAGAGTTTATACTCTTGTTTTTAAAGTAAAAAAAGAAAAAAAAATTAGCAATGACTTGGTTTGAAAATAGTTAATATTTTAATATTAATATTTTTAAAATATTAATCTTTGATATTAATCTTTTTTGAGAGACCTGAAATAGTTGTTATTTTCACTTTCACCTAATATGATTCAGTGCTTTAAAATCATTGTTTTGGAGCAGAAGGGTTTTGGCAATATCCGATTTTGCCTCTGTGTTTTTAGGTTAACAGCATTTAACCTAAGAAAAATGTGTTTAATTTTGCTTTTTGCAGAGTGGCCTCTACTTTGACCAGAGAAACTATAGCAGTCTTAGACATAGCAAACCCACTTCTGCCTACTATACTCGGGTTTGTCACAAGTTTTTTGGCTTCATGTGTTTTATCCAACTTTAACACATTTCTAATCCCCTGTTGCATTTTGACTAGTTAGAACTAATCTGTGAATGGCTGTGTATATACTAGATTGTGGTAACTGAATTCACATAGTCTGTGTGAGTGTATCTTTAAATAATGGGAACTATTGAATCACCATATTTAAAATGAGTACCATTTTTTTCCAGTTTTTTTAATGAAAAATATTTAAACATATAAAAAAAGTTCAAAGAATTTTATAGTAGCCACCTGCGTACCTACCACTCAGATTCTACAATTGATATTTTACTATATTTCCTTTATCATGTAGTTATCTGTCCAGCTGTCCCTCTATCCATCCATCAGTCCATCTTTTTGGGGGGATGCATTTCAAAATAAGTTGTAGGCATCAGTACATATCACAGTGTATGCCCTTTTATTAAAAATATACATGTGAAAATTTAAACTGTACGTGGGATGAGAAGAATGTAATTATATTTAATGTTAGAATCTCTTGTTTTTACAAGGCATTTGGCACATCATACATTTAAAACACATATTTAAATATATAGCGCATAGTGCATTTGAAATAATTCAGTTGTCAAAACATAACTTAGATATTTATGTATCTTATTTTCCATGTCTGATTGGGCTTGGTGAAAAAAACTGAAAATTGTGTCTTGAGATGACATCAGGAAAAAGATTTAATTCCTTTTTTAAAAATGCTGTGCCTTGTTAGTGTGTGGATTCATTGTGACCAGTACAATTTATCTAATTAAAGTAAGGCACTTGGTCCATGGCTTGTTGTGAAATACACGTTTTCTAATCTATTTGGGAGAGTGTTTATAGCAATAACTCACAGCTCATTTACCTGGTTCCCCAATAATCAGGATAAGCCCATTAGATGTCGCAGGAGCTGCTGGGGACTGGGCTGTGGACACTGTTTGCCACACGCCCTGTGCCATGGCCCTCTTTTCCTGAGTGTTTTCTTAGGTGCCCATCCCATCTCCTAACACTAATGTTCAAAGACCAACAGGACTTACCCATTTATAGGAAACTATTCCGAGTGTTTTTCTTTCTTATCCCTTAAAATTGGTATTCAAAGAGATTTCTAATGATTAAGTTTTTCTCACATTGTGTGTCACTTAACTGCCTTAAACACTCAAGAATTACTAATGAATTATGGAGTATAAAATAAATTTGTCTTCTACTTGCATGATGGTGAGGCTGATTCTCCTTTTCTTTTTTCCTTTTTTTTTGCTTGTTTTGTTTTGTTTCTTATCAGTCTTCTTCCCTATACAGTGACCCTCTGGCAACATCTAAGAGCTACAGGGTTAGTACTTCCTGGGGAGTATGGTGCCTTCATAGCTATCAGTTGCTTTTCTTTGGGTTAAATCATGTGCTTTCTCCATAGGCCTCCCCTACTGCAAATTCTGGTCTTCTGAGAAGTGCCAGTCTGGTGTGTATTTTCCTCTTCCAACGTGTGTACTCCTGGTGGGGCCATTGTCACGGTGCTGACTCTGGCTTGCCATCTTTCCTCCAGAATAGTCAAGGACACATGGCTTTAATGCTATGTGTACTGCAGACTGTGCTGCCTGTGCTTAAAATACAAAACTTTTGAGGAGCAAAAATGAGCATATCATAGCAGTAGATACTGCTTGGCTGCTGGTAGGCCCTTGCTTAGAATTGGCTTCCTGTAGAGGAGGTAGACTTGCATGGGTTGCACTACACTTGCATACTTTTGTGAGATGGCTGCCCATGCATGGGGTGTCATATTTTGGGGGGGAACAGCTGTGGCCTGGGCCATGTTAATACTAGACTCTAATGGAGCCAGCTGACTAGAAAGACAAAACAGTAGCTCTGTGTAATGTGCGAGTTGGAATTGGTTGCTTTCAAGCTGTTGTTTGTTGTCTTGTGGCCTGTTCTAATGGACTGGGAACCTGAGGCTTTGTACTTAATTTTATCGTAACAGTGGGCAAAATGCTTTCTGTACCTCACTTTCTTTTATGTACCTTACTTTCTTTTCTGTTCTATTTCCTCTTTTGAGAGAATAAAGTCGTAAATGTTCTCCTAATTTCATAACGTGATGATGAAAGGCAGTGCTGTAACCAGTGGTGCTTTTTAAATGAAGTGTGAGTTTGAAGTTTTAATGAGGCTAACGCAGGAATTTATGCATACATAAATGAGTGTTACCACCTCAGGAGGCTGTACACGTTAACACCATTCTTCAAAACTTTTGGAACTAGGTACTGCAAAGAAGTTATGTCATTTTCAAAATAACTTTGATGCTGAATAGATAAATGGCATTTCCTTTGTTCTTTAGGCGTCGTTGTATGATGGTGGATTATATAACCCTTATGGTTCTCGAACTGTAAGTCTAAGCAGGTGGAGGTGGTGAGGAGGGTGGTGTGTAGGTGGGCACAGTTTACTTACAGAGTCATTTAATCTGACCTATAATTACTCTACAAGCTGTGATCCATCAGCTTGCCAGTGGTGGCTCTCACCCAAGCTGCGAGAAGGCACCTGCTGGAAACTGTGGCTTAAAGCATGAAGGCAATACAAGTAGAGAAACCTCTTTTCTGGCTCATGAGTTCCTTAGGAAGAGGCTGGGAACAGCGCTTCTCAGGGCCTTTCTTCTCCCTCCTGCCGTGGGCTGCTGGATGGTGAGGGTGGGAGTGAAGAAGAGTTCAGGCCAGGGAGGAACAGTTATCTTCACCTGAGAGCCAGGGGCGAGTTAGGTCCAGGGGCACTGATGTATTCCCAGCAGGAAAAGGAGCTGATCGTTAATTGTAAAACCTTTCTTCTTGGAAACTTTATAGCCATCTGAATACAGTTTTCACTCATCAAGAACAAGTTCAGCCCGAAGCAGTCCTGTGGTGAGCTGTCTAGTCTCTTTGCATGCTTTACAGACACTTTTGATTGTTTCATTAATCTGTACTCACCATTCAGAATATTGAGGATGTGGTGTGTTTCACTCTATTGTGCATGGATTATCATTTTGCTTCAGTACACAAACTCAAGAACTAATTTGTCCTAACGGGTGGTTTCTGTATGAACGTGACTTAAGCACGTAATTTCTTAAATGAGTCTGGAACCAGTGCCATTAGAATTTTTTAAAAATTTATATATAACTGTCGTTTGTGTGGAAATTCTTGTCTTCTCAGTGGTGATAATTTAGACTATGAGTTGGTTGCCCTATCTTGGTTGCCCTATCCTTTTCCTTCCTCCTTTTCATGTCTACTTCCTACATTGAACCATTTCACTTGCTTACCAGCCTGTCAATCAGTGGAGTGGGAGGAGAAGAAATCAAATAAGTCAGCTTTTAAAAATTGCTCCAGGACTTCCCTGGTGGCGCAGTGGTTGGGAGTCCGCCTGCCGATGCAGGGGACACGGGTTCGTGCCCCGGTCCGGGAAGATCCCACGTGCCGCGGAGCGGCTGGGCCCGTGAGCCATGGCCGCTGAGCCTGCGCGTCCGGAGCCTGTGCTCCGCAACGGGAGAGGCCACAACAGTGAGAGGCCCGCGAACTTTTTTTAAAATTTATAAATGTAATATTAGCTTAAGGAAAGTACAAAATGAAAGTTCTCTGACCCTTTCCTCCTATATCCATTCCCCAAATGCAACCTCTGTTCTTGTATATCCTTTCAGAGATATTTCATGTATACATGAGTGTCCTTTATTTGAACAGTATGTAAATGACTTGTATACATACTGCTCTTCAACTTGTTTTCTTTACTCAAAGTATCTTTTCAAATCAGTATATAAGGATCTATTTCATTTTTTTGTCAGTCTTTTTTTTTTTCATTCTTTTTTTGACATTTAAAAGATTTTAAAAAGTAAACCATGTCCGTTACTGTTTCCACTGAGTGCCTCTTGGAGATAGGTTTATGTCAGCACATTTTTTTTTAATGGCAATGGATCATTCCATTAGTGCCTGGGCTGTAAATTTGAAAAATTGCTCCTGTTTTGATGGACATTTAGGTTGTCAGAGTTTTGCTACTACAGACACTTGTACAATGAACATGCTTATGCAGGTGTATTTTTGTGGACTTGTATGAGTAGATCTGCATGGTAAATTGCTAATTATGAAATGATGGGAATCAGTATTTACATTTAAATTATGCTATATATTACCCACCAAAAAACTCTAATAATTAACATTTTCAATAACAAAGATGACTTTAGGAACTACCTTGTTATTCTTGACAGTGTCAAAATTGGAAAATTATTAAGCAGTTTCTTAATGGTCAACATAGGTTACTTTGTGGAGTGGAATAGGTGAGATATATGGACTTTCTTCTACATATATGTTTGGCTCATTTCTTCTGCCATTTCCAAGTGGCACTAATCAAGAATTCTACTCTAATAGCTAACAAAAAGTTGTTACACGGATGTTTAAGGAGATAAAAGTTATTACAGGGATGTTTTCACATAAGGAGGAAGTTTACTTTTAACCCACCGGGTAATAAAATTCCACTTGGCAATTCTTGGGCCTGGTAGCATTTTTAGTGTCCCAACTGTGATGGTCCCTTGCAAACAGAATTATGGTAATATTTTCAGTCAAGTGTAGAATCTTGCCCCTGTGTGCTGGCTAAATGCTCTTTCATTTGCAAGGGGGCTCAGAGGTGTTATCCCAGTGATGCCACAATGGTTTCTTAGTGATGTCAGAATGGAGGCAACCTACATATATTGAAGATGAGTCTTCCACTGCTGGTGAAAGAGGAAGGAAACTGTGTGGTGATATTAGAAATATCTCCACCTGCTGCATAGGAATGAATAAAGGACAGTAAGAATCATCATTTCAGTGTCCTTGCCGGTAGGAAATTCTGTCTTTGACTTATATTATTTCACTTAAGAAGATTCTTTTATTTTCTCTCCCAAACTAAAACATTAAATGTATTTATTGACTCCTGATAGGATCCCAAAGGGCCTAGAGGTTTAAAAAGCATGAAGTCCCTGGCTGGTTTTGGCCAGTAGAGTCATGCCCCCCCCCCCCTTTCGTTCATTTAACTTAAATAAAAGATGAAGTACTATTTTATTCTTTGTGCTTTTTGGAAATATCTTTTGTTTTTTAACGATCGTTCATTATGCCTTGAAACAGCTTTTTGGTTTAATGGTGCACAATAGATGGTGCTAATTATTATGCTCATGGAGAGTGTTTGTGTGCTTCCCAAAGCCTTACCTCATGTGCCTTCAGTCAGGGAAGACCTGTAGTGAAATTGCATCTTTTTCATTATCTGCTTTTAATATCTATAGTTTATCGACGATGACACTGCAAGCATTGCTTCTTCTGGTCGTGCCAGCCGTGGGCGAAGGGAGAGTGTGGTGAGCGTGATTTGCATGCAAACACATACGATGAGTTTTAAAATTGCAACACTGTGTGATCATGTGAAATCTGTTGGAAAATGAAATTTGCACTTGACAAAATGAGTGTTTTCTTCAAATTTAGTTTATATGAATAATTTGCCTTCAGAAATGTATTCCTGAGAATACATTTTCTTAGTGGGCTATGTAAGCTTTCGTAGTGACACCTCTTATGTGCTAGTCATTGTGTACTTGACAGATTTTCACTTTTAATTTTTTGTTGCTATTTTATGCACATGCATGTACGTGCACAATTCACCAAAACCAAAAAATTTCTCAAGCAAAATTAATGCCTCCACATTGTTTAAAACTCATTACTATGGATTAGAAATCATGCTGCCATTAATTAGTTGTTTTCTTTGGTGTGTATTTAAATTTAACCATAGTTTATACATCTTTTAAGGCCCATGAATACTTTGAGTTGCTGATGGCAAAATTTAAAAATTTTGGTCTTAGAATTCAACTAGAGTTACAATTATAGAGGTAACAAATAGCTATGTTAGAATACAAATTATATAATTTCAGGTTATTCTTTTGATGAAGCAAGAAATTTTACAGAGGGCTGATGACATTTTTGCTATACTTAAAAATTGATTCGAAAATTACATTGGTGAGGATGGTGTGTCAGCTTAGAGCTAAAACAAAAGAGCCCAATAAGTAAGAGGCTATAATTCCTTTAAGAAAATAGAAGGTCATTTAATACAAGTCATGTTTTGTGAAAGATTGTAAACACAAAGTTTTCATAGAAAAGGGGAACAGCAAGAGTTTGTGAGCTTTGTTGCCAGAAATCCAGTGATCTAATTAAGACAGTTGTGGTCCATTGGCAAGCCAGTTAATGCTCATACTCAGAGCTGCAGGAGAAACAACAGTCCATGACACCTGAAAGTACCCCAGAAAGTGATGGAGTGGAAAGGGCAGGGGCTCTGAAATGATGATGCCTGGGCTTGAACCATTTCTCCAACCTGTTAGTTGTGTTAATGGCAATTTCTTTATCTGTACAATGGGCATGTAATGACTATCTTTGTAGGTAGGCTTAATATTATGGATTAAATGAATTACTATATAGAAAATAGCTATCAAAATTCTGAGATAGTGGGTACCGTTATATTATTATATGTAAATCTAAGTTGTATTATTGTGAACAAGAATACTATTGCTTGATTATCTCAGCTCTTAGCAAAACTTCATATTTGTAAGCCTTAAGGAAGGCATCTCTGTGGATGGGCTTCCAGATTCCTTTCTGGAAGAGAAGAGTTTTTGAGCAAGGGAATCAGACAGAGCTGAGGTAAGGAACAGCTGATGAGTGAGGTAAAAAATACTCATTATTTATTAATTCAACAAATGTGTATGGAGGGAGTACCTGTTATATGTGAGGGACCATGTTGAGTGCTGGGAATAATGTGGTAAGCCACATAGACCAGATTTCTGACTTCATGGAGCTTATATCCTGGTGAAAGAAATAGAAAATAAACTGATAAAGATAGGAACAAAAAGGAGAAAGTAAACCCGGGGACTGTGAAGAGAAAAAGCAGGTGATATTATAGAAGACATTGAGTGGTGTGTGTGTGTGTGTGTGTGTGTGTGTGTGTGTGTGTGTGGCAGAGAGAGAGAGAGAGAGATCACCCTTGGATGGGGTGATCAGAGAAGGCTTCTCCGAGGGAGTTGACCTTTGAGCTGAGAGTTGAACTGCTTGAAGAGCTGCTTGAAGAGCTGGGAGGAGAGCTTCCTAGGCCAGTGCCAACGGCGAAGGTGGGAAGACACTGGGTATGTTTGGGGAACCAGAAAGAGGCCAATGTAGTTTGTTCATTATTTTGTTCTACAGTTCTCGGTCCTGAGGAATATGAAAAAGAGGAAACTGTGGAAATTGGTAAAAGGCACAGTAAATATTCTGCAGATAGTTCCACATTCAGGATATATGTGCTTAACAGAGCTGATAACTATAATGCATTATACATTTGTGAAATATAGTAGAGGCTTTAGGTAAATGCTATCCTAGATTCCCTCATGGTGAGGGTGATGCTGGTTCTCAGGCAGTACATGGATGATCTCTATAGCATAGGACTCTAGCTAAGATGAATAAGAGCTTATTTTAGGGAGCTGTGATGTCATTTAGGAACCCTTTACATTTCTTTCTCACCTTCTTGAGTAGGTAAGTCACAGCAGTTTCCTCATTTCATTTCATGATACTTTATCACACACCAAAAAAAAAAAATTTCCCCCATATGCCAATGTTCTTATCTTTTTCTTCTCTCTCTTCTTAACTTTTAAAGCATCTCATTTTTTTCCTGACTGAAAGGTTTCTGCAGCTGATTATTTTAGTCGCTCCAATCGTAGGGGGAGCGTGGTCTCCGACATGGATGATGTCAGCATTCCAGATCTGACCAGCGTGAGTGCAGCGCATGGGGATTCACTGTCTCAGGCTTGTGACTAACAGCTAACAAAATAGCTATTTTTAAATTAGGAACTTAATTTACTGCCTAGGAAATATTTATTTCAGCACACTAGCATAAAATACAGTTATTTGTTTTGTTTTGAAATGTATATATTGATATGTTCCAATTTTTTACAACATTTTTCCTGTGGAAATTTTCCCCCATAGAACCCATCAGCAGCTCCAACAATTATCAATATTTTGCCAATTTTGTTTCATCTATTTCTTCCCCTTTCCCTCCTTTTTTTCCTGAAGTACTTTAAAGCAAATCCCATACATCATGCCATTTCCCAATAAATAGTTCAGTATGCGTCTCTAGTTGAGAACTTTTTTCTTTATTTACTGTGCCATTATCATACCTAATGAAATGAAAAATAACTCCTTAAAACCATCTAATACCTAGCCCATGTTTAGATATTCCTGATCAGTCTTAAAAATTTTTTTCCCTTTTCATTTTGGAGAATCTATAAATTTTTAGGTAAACTTTGAAGGTTGAACAATAAAATATCCTACTTAGCAAAGAGTCACTAACTTATAGTAACTGGGAAGAATCTGAATAGATTTTGAACATTTGGATTATGGCATTGTTTTGAAGAAATGCCTATCTATTGCTTTCACATTCATTGGGAACTGTATTTAGGAAAGACTGTCCAGTAGAAATGCCTTGAGGCATTTACCTTAATGAAGGAACCTAGACCAGCAGATGTCTACCTGCCTGATGTATGTAACAGCCTGATTTTCTGTCTGTGACGTCTCTCCGTAACTGGCATTAGTGTTGTTTGCCCTTGGACCAACGCTGTCCTAATTATCAAGCGCTTTGAAGCAGATTAGTCAGGGTTTCTTAACAAAAAATTAGACAGTTTTTTAATGAAGATAGAATTATTTATATTTAGCATGTCACCAATTGTATTTAAATAGCTATTTCTGAATGACTAATCCTAGAAAACAATTTTGAGTGTTGTCCTTAAGTATTCCAGATTGTTGGCGCTTGAAGCTGGCTGGCTGAGCAACAGTCCCATCTTGACCTTGGTCACATCAACAGTCTCTCTGCACATAAAGTTAGAAGACTGGCTCCCAAGTCCTTCCCTTGAAATATTGCCCATTTTATTAATTTGCTTAGTAACCTGTTTTTTCATAGATATAAACAATTTAATTTATTGTATACACCTTTTCTCTTAAAAACTTTGAACTCTTTTAGCATCTAATGTGATGTCTGAATTACTGGCTATGTCCTCCTTACGTTTATTTCTTGGCAATTTATTTTCGTAACTACACAGGAGTGAAAAGGTTGACAGTTTTTTTTTAGTGTTCCACTGCCTCTACTAATTAAATAAAACTCTTTTCTTTTGCCAGGTAGTTATTTTGATCTGTCTACATATTTAAATAAAAAGTATACATATTTAAGGTATATAGCATAATGATTTGATATACATGTATATAGGCTGTGTATATGTGTATCGAGTCATGCTGTATACCTTGTAACATAAGCACAAGCTTCTCTAGAGCAGTGGTTGGCAAATCTGGCCAGCCCCGTTATTTTATAGCCTACCAGCCAAAGTTTTCTTTGTTTTTTGTTTTTTAGTGGTTATCTAAGTACCTATATAACATCCTTAATTTTACCTCTTGGCAAAGCCTAAAATATATGTTGGAGCCCTCTCTAGAGCAAAAAAATTTGGAATAAAATACATCTTTGTTTCTAAACAACTCTTTCAAATGATGGTATTAAAATGTGTTCATGGGGCTTCCCTGGTGGCATAGTGGTTAAGAGTCTGCCTGCCAGTGCAGGGGACACGGGTTTGAGCCCTGGTCCGGGAAGATCCCACATGCCACAGAGCAACTAAGCCCGTGCGCCACAACTACTGAGCCTGCGCTCTAGAGCCCGCGAGCCACAGCTACTGAAGCCCGCGCACCTAGAGCCCATGCTGTGCATCAAGAGAAGCCACCGCAATGAGAAGCCCACGCACCGCAACAAAGAGTAGCCCCCACCCACCACAGCTAGGGAAAGCCCGTGCATAGCAACGAAGACCCAACACAGCCAAAAAAAAAAAAAAAATGTGTTCACAACTAGAATTCTGTTTCCACTCAAAAAGGTTCAAATTGTATTTTACCATTCTAGTAGGATAAAATTATCTGTCAAAGTAGCCATTTGCTGAAATGAAGGTCAAAGGGCCTCTTAATCAGAGAATAAGAAATATCTTTCTTTTAAGAAGAAACCAAGGGTTTCAAAGATTTGACAAGATATGTATTCTAAGAAATATTTCTCACGTACTAATTTCAACAAATAAGGAGTGTAGATTTAAAGAGAAACAATCTATATTCTGATGTCAAGAGCAAAGCATTTTCAGATTTCCCAGACATAAATAAGGCAAAGGCATTTATCACTGAAATATGGAAAAGATGATATTTAAGACTTTGTTTATGAGTTGATAATTTGAAATTCTTAAAAGAAGCAATAAAGTTTGCCATCATGTGCTCTTCTTTGTGCATTAATACGAATATGAAATATTATTGATACAAGCCTGTCAGCTAACTTTCCATTTCCAGCTATCAAGGGAACCCTTTTCTTGATTGGAAAATTACCAATTTAATTATTTAGGAGTGTAATGGCATAATATTTACTTGAAAGTTTTTGAGAATAGTAGGCTGTAGTCAGTATTCATGAGCAAGTCCTGAGGGCTTTACTAAGGAAAAAAGCCTTGCTTTCTGTTTTGTTGTTGTTGTGTTATATTTTAGTCTACCATTTTGTTTAGCCACTTTTTTTTAAAGCAATTTGATGACTTATTTTCCGTATTTTTCTCTATCTCAGTTTACTTTGCTTGTTTTACAAAAGTGTGACTATATAGTACATATAGCCTTTGTTTTCTGGTTTTTCATATTATTGCATATTTATTTTTTCCATGTTATTCATATATAACAATTTTTTAAAATCAGCTGTAGTCACCATGTTTTACATTAGATCCTCAGACCTTATTGATCTTCTAGCTGAAAGTTTGTACCCTTTTACCAACATTTCCCTCTTTTATACCTTAGTATATTAAACATGATTATATCTTATTCCACTTAAGAGCCTTTTGAGGATCTGGCAGACTCTTTTGGTCATCATTTTGAACACTAGCTTGTCGTTGCAATGCAGCTATGTAGACCTCCCAGGGCTTTTAGAATACCAGGTTTCCACTAGCTTTTCGTCTAAACGGAAGGCTGCGTATAATGCAGCACAAGCCTGCAAAGTGAGCACTGAAGAGTCTCTGGCCAAGTCCCTGCAGCGGGGCGGCTCTAGGCATTTTTGCTACCTCCACAGTCCCTGAAGTTTGGCACATGATCAGCTTGGGCAGGTGCTGCAGTTGGGATCTGTCAGGAGATAGCGAAAGCAACAGAATCAGTCCTGCAGTGGACTGGGTCAGCGATGCAGCCTCTGAAATGTAAGATTATTCTCAGGTGACTGTCTATTAAAAACTGGGTGGGTTTGGGGGTCATTTGTGTGAGAGTGGGATAAGAGACAGGGTTTCAAATGGACCTGGAAGAATGTTTCTGAATGCTGCTTGTTTTTCTCTTTAACTCATTAGTAGAAGAGAGTTGGAAGATACTCTAAGGAAAATAAGTCTGTTTATTTAGATATGATATTTCTTTCACTCTGAGGAATAACACATTAAATATTAGGCAATATATTTTACTAGTATAGATGTGAGGAAGATAATTCCTTTCTATGGCAATAACTGCCAATATTAAAAACTATTGTCATCGCCTGTTTTAAAACATTTCATATGTGGTTTAAAGAAGTCAAAATGAACTAAAATCAGTTCCTTTTTTTTAAGAGTATTACAGTAAGAAGTAGCAAAAAGAATTTGAAGTCTGAGATAGTATTTATATTCTGATTTGGTACTTATAATAAAAGGTGTTTACTGAGACAGAAAATGAACACAAATAAATGTGGGTAATAAAAAAAAACAGAAAAAACTGTCAAATATGAGGAAGTTAGAGTGAAGTGATCTGAACTGAGCCAGAAATAATGACATTTTGTGTTTTAATAATTAACTAAGGAAGGTTTTCAAATCTCTTCTCTAGATTGGGCTGGGAAGGTTGGTCTAGGAGTTGGAGTCTGGGTATATTTTCATTTAGTTAAATTTTTCTGTGACTTTTTTCCCCCAGTGGTAATTTGGACAGTATATACAGGTAAATAATACGAAAAATTCACAAAACTGAGGTCTGGATTCAGCTCTGACATTTAGCAGTTATGCATGCTTCAGCAAGGTCTTTCACCTCTGAATTTCTCTTTCCTCAGCTATAAAATCAGGGTTTTAGACTAAACCTTTAAGGTACTTCCCTTCTTGAAACGCCAACTAAAACAACCGTAAGGCCTATCTGCAGAAGATAGGATAACTCAATTATGGTATGTCCAGATAATAGGGTACTATGCAGCTGTTAAAATAAATGAGGTAAGTCTATAAGTACATATGGGATATAATTCATTTATTCGTTCATCCAAGAAATTTTGAGTCCTGTATGCCAGGTGCTATTCTTTTTTTTTTTTTTTAATTTATTTATTTATTTTTGGCTGTGTTGGGTCTTTATTGCTGCGCGTGGGCTTTCTTTATTTGCGGTGAGCGGGGACTACTCTTCGTTGCGGTGCACGTGCTTCTCATTGTGGTGGCTCCTCTTGTTGCGGAGCACAGGCTCTAGGCACACAGCTTTCAGTAGTTTTGGCTCGCAGGCTCTAGAGCGCAGGCTCAGTAGTTGTGGCACACCAGCTTAGTTGCTCCATGGCATGTGGGATCTTCCCGGACCAGGGCTTGAACCCCTGTCCCCTGCATTGGCAGGCGGATTCTTAACCACCGTACCACCAGGGAAGCCCCAGGTGCTATTCTTGGTGTTAGGAATACAGAAAAGAACATACAGACATAGAGCTTACATTAAAGAGAGAGAGATCAGACAATTAATAAATAAGTTTATTTATTAATAAATAAGTTAATAAATATCATGGGGTCAGGGAGTGATAAATGCCATGAAGAAAAATAAAGTACTTTCTCTGATCTCTGAAACATGGTAAGGGGAAAAAGAAGATATGGAATGTATTTGGGACACTACTGTTAGAAATTTTTTTGTTGTTTTTTTTGTTTTGTTTTTTAATGTGTTAGAATTTTTTAAAGACTGGGTGTAGGTTGCCCTTGAAGATCTGGGTATGGTGTACCTCTAGAGAGAGGCTTACTTTGCATACCCTTTGTGCTGTTTTTTTCTCTTTTTTTGGATACGTGAGCGTGTATTACTTAAAAAGCAAAAACAAAAACCAGGCAACCAATTTCCTTAGTGCTGTGGGGAAATTTTTTTGATGATATATTTTACATGCTCTAGCCCAATCTGAACGTTTTTGTCTAAGTATGCTAGTCTTAATCTGTGTGTCCTGTGTCAGTAATGCTAAGATAATAAAGTTTTTTGGCTTTTGGTTTTATCAGAATTTTCTTTTTGATGTATACACTTTTTTGTGTGTGTGCATTAACTTTTACAATGATAAAATTTAAGTTTAACATATAGTTTTCTTTAATATGTTTCAAATACCATGAAAAGAAAATCTGTGTAAAAGTTCTAAATTTTTTCATAAGGACAGCTTGCTTACTCCATGTCTTCCTTAGATAAGAATTAAAGTTCTTAACATCTTGTTTTATGTGTCCCAACTTTTATTTCAGTTTTAGTATGTTTGCTTTTAGGTTCCAAATATCGATTGGACTGGAGAACTCAAATGAGGTCACTTCTTTTTTTTCCCCATAAAAAAATGAAAATGCTAAGCATCTTTTCTGATTTTTATCTCTGTTCTTTTCTAGTTGGATGAAAAATCTGACAAACAATATGCTGAAAATTACACAAGGGTGAGTATCTAAATTTCTAAGGAAATTAAGTTCTCAAGGTCAATAACTTACTGTCTACTACTATTTTATTCTCGATTTTACAACAGTTTAACTGATGGAGCTACTCTTCCTCTCTTCATCTACTTCCTGTCCTTGACCCCCGGATTCCTCTGTGGTTGAATCATGTGAAGCACTGGGAAGAGAAAAGACACTGCATTTTATTTCCTTGAATGTCACCTCTTAAACTTTTGGCTGCTCTTTTGATTTTCATTCCTCTAGAATTTAATCCTTAGAAGAAGCCATTAAACACTGAAAATGAAGACGTGTCTTTAGGAATGGTGGTGACAAACTCTGAGGGTTTTGTTTTTTTCCTATTATAGATAAATTATTCTTCGAAGTACAATAAAATAACTCCTTTCTAGGAGTTGCTTTGTGTTTAAAAAAATCTCTAATTTTCTTCTAGAAATATTTTTAGAACGTCATCTTAGGGAAATTATCAGGATTAATTTTGTGCTATGCCCCCAAAAGGTGTACCAGTTCTATCCAGCAGAAATACAGTGCAAGCCACAAATGTAAACCACATATGTAAGTTTAAATTTTCTAGCAGCCACGCTAAAATAGTAAAAAGAAACAGATAAAATTAATACAAATAATATATTTTATTTAACCCAAATGTCCAAAATATTTAAACATAATCAATATGAAAACTTATTAATGAAATATTTTACATTCTTTTTTCTACACTAAGCCTTCAAAATCTGGTGTGTATTTTACACCTAAAAAAAAAATTCTCAGTTTGGACTAACCACATTCCAAGTGCTCAATCACTGCATGTGGCTAGTTGGCTGCTGTATTGAATAGCACAAATCCCTGCCGTTTATTAATCCAGTAGCATGATGTCGCATTTAAACTCATTGTGGGAAGAGCAGTCTAAATTCATAGTGATACACGGTATTGTTGCTGTCAGCTGCAAATAGTATCTCCAACTTTATCAGCAAAGTATTAGGAAAAGAAAAGATTCTAAAGAAGCAGCTTCAGGAACTAAACAGGAGGACTGCTATCATACCAAGTATAACATTCTATAACTGTTTAAAATCAAGCAGATGTACTCACCCCAGTGCTGTTTACAATACAGCAAAGATAAACTTAGAAAACAGACAACTCTCACACGAACCATTTCCTTCTTAGTTATTATGAATTCTAGATTCCAGTAAAGCGAGCGAACACAGTTGTGCTTAGTATGCCTGGGCCCATCTCTGGGTACCCTCTCCCCAGAGCCAATCTAAATTGCCTGTGGATTGCATTCGGTAACTTCTCGTCACACTGTGTTAGATCTCTCCCCACCACCCTGGCCCACTTTTAGTTTCCACAGCAAATATATTTTTAAAGAAACAAGACTTAAAAGTGCCATATTTCTTTTTCTCTAGCCTTCATCTCGAAATTCTGCCTCAGCAACAACCCCTCTAAGTGGAAACTCATCCAGACGAGGAAGCGGGGACACGAGCAGCTTAATAGATCCAGACACCTCATTAAGTGAATTGCGGGTAAACCGCGATTTTTGGTTTGCTTTTTATAAACAATTTTTTGGCTTCTTTGTAGTCTAGTGGAACTATTTAACATTTAATGTGTCTTGGTAGGAAGAAAAAAGTATGGTATGAGTTCTTTAAAAAAAATTGTTAGTGCAGTTCAAGAATGTGACTAGGGTCTGAAGGGAAGGAGATTAGTTAATTCTTCCATTCTCTTTCCTGAACATTTGATGATATTGGAATGACTTCTGCTAATTTACAAATGCCAAAAAATCTTTCTAATGTATATAAAAGTAATTCTCTCAAATAATTGGCCATATTTTAAATGGAAAATATGTGGATGTACAAGGAACCGGATTTGGGGAATTATTAGTCTTTTGAGCCGTTATGGTGTTATTTGGCTGCCTGAATACAGTTATCTCTCAGTGTTTCATGATAAGACAAGTATAATAATATTTGGGATGACAGAAATACCTGAGTAATGTAAGCTCATTTAAATCATTAGTTGAGTCTCCATTCTTATTAATAACACTTTCAAAATGTATTTGAATGTCTATTTGCTGGACATGCTCTTTTTGAGGAACGAGGGAAGGGCAGTAATAAAAATTGCATTTATTCATTCGTTCAACGTTGTTGAGCACTTGGCCCCACAGAGTCAGGCAGTAAAGCACACTTTGGACTTAAAGAGTTCACTGTTTCATAGGGAAGACAAATGGATATAAACCAGTAAAACCAGGTGGTGTGATGCCATGGTAGTAGTAAGAATAGGGCTGTTAAGGGAATTCAGAGAAGCATCATCTAAATTAGACTAGAAGAAGAGATTTTAAAAAAGGCTTTTCGGTGGAGAGAGGGCGTGAAGGAAGAATAAAAATTAACCAGGCAAAGAAGCTGAAGGGTGAAGGCTTTCTCAGATAGTTAAATTCAGAGACCCACAAGATTATCTGTATAGCAAAGTTGCCAGAGGGTAGGATGAGAAGTGAGGATTCGTAGTGGGTGAGAGAGAAGGCTGGAGAAGTAGTGATGGGCCATATCACAAAGCACCTTGTATGGCAGGAATTCAGGTTTACCCTGACAACTAGGGGATATTAAATAGTGGAGCAGTACTATCTGATTTGCATTCCTAAAGATTGACCACAGACTGGAAGAAGCATTGGAGGCAAGGAGAAGAGTTACCCTGTGGTTGAACAATGGGGATGAGATGAGCAAGTCAAAACTGTGATGGGAGAAAATGTAGGCAACTTGCTCTGAAGAGAGTATTGGAGAATGGAAGTTGTTTGGTCAGTACAGAGAGAGAGGAAGTTAAGAGGTTTCTGTGTTCTTTTAAAGGCAGCATTAGTTGTTGTTTTCATTGGTTGGATTGAGCCAGTAGAGAGAGACTGTGAAGGTTAAGGAAGGAGAAGGGGTAGCTGACTGAGAAAGTGCCTGAGTGGGTGAGAGGAGGGTCCAGGGATCAGATGGATGGAAGGTGGCCGCCCCTTCCCACTGACACAGTAGAGGACGAGGGAGGGACCGGTGGGGACTGAGTAAGATTGTGGGCGGGGTAGGAGCAGGAGTCTGGCTTGTGAAATGGGCAGCTCGTAAAAGTGGGCTGAAGGTTAGGAGAGGGTGAGGATTGGAACAGCGGCAGCGGCACTGCAGAAGGAGGCCCAGGTCAGCCTGGTTCTGACTTTGAAGGGGTCAGTGTTATTGAACTCTTCCTAAGTACCAGGCATAAGCACGAGGGTGCAACGTTGAATAAGCTTAACTCTTGCCTTTAGGTGCTATTTTCTAGTGGGACAAAAGGATGGGGCATTCCAGCCTCAGACTGAGCTTGTGCTCGCTGTTTACTTGTATTTCTTCTTTGAGAGAACAACCTCCTTGAAGGAAATGAGATTTTTGTATCCTAGCATTTGGCTCCTAATAGGCACTTGATAAATGTCTGTCGAATGAACGAATGAATAAAAGACAAAACTACCAAGGAGGGAATGAAGGGGGCAGGGGAAATGTAATATAGAAACTCTGTGTAATGGGCCTTTGATAATTGATCCTGCCTGTAATTGTACAGTTATGTTCAGGGCCCTGTATCAGTTATTTCCCCCCTAAATCAACCATCCAGAATAGACCTCATGTAGCAAGGTCAGGTACAAGGGAAACAATATTTTCCATTTAAAATTTGGCCTGCTTCACTTTTCTTATAAGGATTATGGTAACATTTGGAGCAAAGGCTTTTCTCATCATTTAAATGATGTCCTCAGGATAGACTCTCTCATTTGACACTGTGTTTAAAATATTTGTTTAATACCCTTCCCTTTACCTGTCTTTCCCCCAAATTAATTGTGGTCAGTAACCAAGTCATTGAAAGACAACTTTGTTCATCTCTAGTTTTACATTTTTTAAAACTTCTGCATGACTCAGTAGAATCTTCAGCTTATAATTAATTTACTACATATTTTAGTAGCTATCGGTGGAGTGTTATGCTAAAAATTATTTGAATGATTGATACAGTTTTTTAAATTGTATTTTAAAAAATGTTATAACTTATATAGCTTTTGTACACAGCGCCAGCCCCATTTGCTAATGTTTTTTCCACAGGAGTTAATGTCAAGGAAGTATTTGATATGTTAGAATGATTACTCCAGGCCTTCCCCAGCCCCACCATCACTTGCCTGTTTGCCCCTTTTAGCAGTTTGCAGTGGCAGTTACGTTTGTGTACCTCAGTTTCTCTGCTTTTAGTCTGGAATATGCAAAAGTAATTCACATTTTCATCTGAATCCTTTGAGACTTTGTGTGTGGTTTTATGCAATGGTTCATTCCTATGTCCTGCAGGATATCTATGACCTTAAGGACCAGATACAGGATGTAGAAGGGAGATACATGCAGGGGCTTAAGGAACTAAAGGTATCAGGGCCCATTTTGCAGCCCAAGCATGTTCTCTGTACGCAGAAGTGTTGGTAATGGTGGTTTCACAAATTCTATTAACCCCACTGCACATAGCTTTACTAACAGTGTTTGTCTTTCAAGCATGTGCTTAACCTGCAATGCATAGGAAAGGCGAACTTCCAATCTCTGCTTATGTTTAAATGTGTACTGTAGTTTTTGGAATATTCAGGAAAAGATATTATGCCTTACAGTTTTTAAACCTTATAAAATACTTACGTATCCCTTGTGTCTTAGCCTTACAAAATTGAGTTGGGCAAAACCCTAAAAAGTGTTCTAAGAATATTTTTTATTGAGAATTAGACCTTAAAATTCTTCCAAGCTAAATGAAAGAGCATTGCCTGTTTCTGCCACCAAATTCAGTCAGTATTAGGAGTAGAAGGAAGAAGCATCTAAGAGAAAGAGCATTACTATAAATATTCCTTCTGGAGGAAGGACCCTGAAGCATGAGGACTGTGTTTTCTTTTTGTTTTGATTGTTTTTCACATAGATCAAAAAGAGTTACACAGATTCGGTGCCTTGAATCATTTGGAGGTAAATTTAAATGGGCCTTATTTCTTCCAGTCAAGGATGGCTACCAGTTTTCAGTAGAAGTGTCCATGTGAGGCAGACATTTTACTTGTAAATGGCACTTGATTTTCATGCTCTTCCCTATGTTTTCTTATGAAGTTCAAACCTAGTATTATGAATTACTCTTAAGTTTCTCTGAATACATGTAGGTCCCTATTTGAAATAGAAATACACACCAGGCCTCTAAAAATGCGTAAGCAGGGCATTCAGAAAGGTGACTCAGGATATGCTCAAAGGACAGAGTGTAGACCTGATGGTCAAGGCTTTGCTCAGCCGCCAAGCATGATTGGACTTAGCCCAGCTACCAGCCAGAAACTTCATGCAGGGGATTATGGTCCAGAAAGGGTGGGAAGGCCTGTGGAGAGCGCCCCCAGGAAGCCTGGACACTGCTGACAGCAGTGTGTGGTTGTTGGTAAACATCAGGAAGATCCCAGAGTTAGTGAGCTGATGTGCTCAGTTAGTCTTACTGCTCTCATCTTCAGGATTTAATCCCCCTTTTAAGGTTTTAGAGATATGACTTGGAAATATCTTAGATCAGTGGAACAAATCCAGTACCTTCAATAAATACATTCATTTTAAAGTCTCGTACGTAACATAATGTATCAGGAAAGCAAGTGATTCAAAGGCATTCTTACTCGTTTTTTATTTTATCTTAAACATTTTCCCCTTACCTTTTAGATCTACCATTTATTTCATTTTTTGAAAGATACAAAAAACAGATTAACCTTATTTGAGACTCTGAACAGATAAGTCCCCTTTTCTTAATTCATGGTTAGTGTATAATTGAACTTGACTTCAAATTATGTTTATCCTTGAAATGACTCTTTTAAATGGAAAAAAATCTTTTAAAAAATTACCTGGTTGGTGGTCAAAGCATGGTGGTGTGATATATCTATATTCTATTAAAAAAGGATGCTCAGTCATTGCTTATGACATTATTCTTAAGTATGTCTGCCTTTGAGGTGTTTTTTCCCCCCTCTACCCTCCCTCCACAGTCACCTGGGTCTTGTTATCACAGATTGCTGGACTCTACTCCCAGATTTTCTCATTCAGTAGGTCTAGGACGGAGTGGTTGAAAATTTGCGTTTTTAACCAGGTCCCAGATAATGCTGTTGCTTCTAGTCCAGCACCTACACTGAACATCGCGGCCTTAGACACCTTTAAGTAAAACTCATTCCTTATGGGTATCACTGTGTGAGCTAGATTAAAATCATTAAAACTACCTTGAGGGAATTTGCTGGCGGTCCAGTGGTAGGACTCCGATCTTTCACTGCTGAGGGTTCAGTCCCTGGTTGGGGAGCTAAGACCCTGCAAGCCGTGTGGCCAAAACAACAACAACAACAAACTACCTTGACGCTTAAGTTTAAAATAGTCTTCTGTGGTCTTTTGTTTAAAGGGAAAAGTACACTCCATACATTTTATGTCAGTTTTATTATGTTATATATTGTGTCCTTGCAGCTACTGCTTGAACTGTCTTAGATTCTGGTGTTCATGCAGTCATGCCCCATTTTGTATGGGACTGAGTTGTGAGGAGGACTTTTTTTTTTGCTATTAGTCTCTGAGATGGATGAGAATCATTCTAAATTCTGCATTGTGTTAAGATACCTACTATATTTGAACCATTATACAGTTAACTGGGCTTATATTCTTTATTTGGGTACATTTGTTCTCAATCATAATATAAATCCTACCTGTTAATACAGTCCTGGGTTGTGAAGAATTATTAAGTGTATGCATATGTGTTTGTGTGTATCTATTGAGATATAAATCACATACCATAAAATTTACCCATTTAAAGTGTACAATTCAGTGGGGTTTTTTTGCATAGTCACAGAATTGTGCAACCATCACCAATTTTAGAACATTTTCACTACCCCAAGAAGAAACCCCATACTAATCAGCAGATGTTCCCCACTCCTCCACTCCCACTCCTGCACCTAGCCCTGGGTAACCACTAGTCTATGTTGTCTTTCGTGATTGGCTTTTTTTTTTTTTTTTTTTTGCTGTACACGGGCCTCTCACTGTTGTGGCCTCTCCCGTTGCAGAGCAGTACAGGCCATGGGCCCAGCCGCTCCGCGGCATGTGGGATCTTCCTGGACCGGGGCATGAACCCATGTCCCCTGTATCGGCAGGTGGACTCTCAACCACTGTGCCACCAGGGAAGCCCGTGATTGGCTTTTTACTTAACGTAATGTTTTCAAGATTCATCCGTGTTATAAAACACATCAGTGTGTGTGTGTATATACACGTATACACACATATGTATACATATATATACATACACACGTGTGTGTGTGTGTGTATAAAATGGCTGAGTAGTATTCCACTATATGGATTTACTACATTTTGTTTATCCATTTGTGAGTTGATAGGCATTTGGATTGTTTCCAGTTTGGGGCTATTATGAATAATGCTGCTGTAAACATTTGTGTACAGCTGTTTGTATAGACATATCTTTTCATTTCTCTTGGGTAGATTACCTAGCAATAGAATTGTTGGGTCATATGGTAACTCTATGTTTAACATTTTGAAGTACTGCCAACCTGTTTTCCAAAGTAGCTGCAGTATTTTACCTTCTTCCCAGCAATGTATGAGTCGTCTAGTTTTTTCATATCCTCACCAACACTTATCTTGTTTCTCATTTTTTGATTATAGATAATAACCATCCTAGTAGATCTGAAGTAGTATCTCATTATAGTTTTGATATGCATTTCCCTAATCACTAATTATATTAAGAAAGTTTTTGTATTCTTATTGTCCATTTGTACACCATCTTTGGAGGAATATCTGGTCATATCCTTACCCATTTTAAAATCGAATGATGTGTCTTTTAATTATTGATTTCCAAGTGTTCTTTATATATTCTGGATACAAGTTCCTTATCAGATATAAGATTTACAAATATTTTCTCCCATTTTGTGGGTCGTCTTTTTACTTTCTTGGTGGTATTGTTTGTAGCATAAAAGATTTTGATAAAGTCTACTTTTTCTTTCATTGATAGTTTGGTATTGTATCTGAGAAACCATTGCCCACTCCAAAGTAATAAAGATTTACTCTGTGTTTTCTGGGAAGTGTTTTATAGTTTTAGCTTTTAATTTAGGTCTCTGATCCATTTTGAGTTAATTTTTGTGTTTGGTGTGAAGTAGGAGTCCAACTTTATTCGCTTGCATGTGGATCTCAGTTGTCCCAACACCATTTATTGAAAAAACTACTCTTTCCCCACTGAGTTGTCTGGGCACCCTTGTCAAATATCAGTTGATCATAAATGTAAGGATTCTGGACTCTCAGTTCTATATCACTGATCTTTTGTTAAACATTTGCATTAATATTTTAAAATTTTATTTCCAGGGATTTCCCTGGCTGTCCAGTGGTTAAGACTCTGCACTTCCACTGCAGGGGTGTGGGTTCAATTCCTGGTTGGGGAACTGAGATCCTGCATGCCGCATGGCGAAAAATTTTTTTTAAATAAAATAAAAATTTACTTCCAGAAGTGATGACTTTTTCTATGTGAAATGTTTTTCTTTTTAGTTTTAAAAATACTGCTAGGTAGTAGTAATCTACCAAAATAGATGTAGTTATTAAGAAACAGGCTGTAAGCTATTTTAGGCAGAAAACTTTGAAGTATATAAAAATTTAGGCATTGAGTGGTAGCTCTTTTTTCTTAAATAATAGTTTTTATATTGCTTACTTATTTAAAAATGGCTAATATTTGAAGTTGCTAGACAAAATGTTTATACATTTACATTAATGTTATGCAGACCAAGAAAGTACTGAAAACACAGGTCCAGGAAGTGGTGCAATTCAAATAAGTATGAAATTTACTTGAGTAAAGAGAGGCTGTCTTCTGTTGTATCTGTATTCTGTTGCAAATAGCTGTTGTTAAAAACTACAGGAGTAACATTTCTGAAACCATTAATGATTCTGTATTTTATGATTTTTACACTATGACTCTTATATGTTGTCTGCACACCTCTTCATCTTTCAGAGGCTGCACTGCTGCTTGAATTTGTTTTGGATAGCAGAGAGCCCATAAAGTGCTTATAATGATGCGTCCTTGGCTTCTTGTCATCCTCCTGTTTTATGTGCATGTTACTAAACAAAGGGTTCCCCAAACTGCTTTTATTTTGCAAAAATGCATCTTCATGTGTTTGTGCCAGTGCTATAGTTTCCTGTTATATGGCATATAGGCAATGAACATATTTTAGATATTAGGCTGATGACTTTGACTTTCATTTAGGAGTCTTTGTCTGAAGTGGAAGAAAAATACAAGAAAGCCATGGTTTCCAATGCACAGTTAGACAATGAGAAGAACAATTTGATATACCAAGTAGATACCCTCAAGGATGTTATTGAAGAGCAGGAGGAACAGATGGCAGAATTTTATAGAGAAAATGAAGAAAAATCAAAGGTAATTGCTCATCTTACATCATGCCTTTCTCTGGGGTCAGAAAATTAAAACCTGCCATTTAAGAAGTACTGGGTTTGACGAAAGAGCACAGCATCCCCGGGAATGATAGTTCCATCACAACTGATTGGTGCAAGGAAATTGACAGAACGTAAGATTGCAGGTCCTGAAATATTTTCCTTTCTTAATTTTTATAAGATTTAACTTATTTTCATAAGGGGAAGCTTATGACCTCCTTTAGTTTCTGAAAATAGAATACAACTCAAATTTTATCTTTATCTCTTAATTGGGACAATTACAGTGAATTACTTCTTCCTGCTATAACTGGCTGGAACTGCCCAAAGCTCCAGAGGCTTTCAGTGAGGTGGTTCATTTTATTCTTTCTTTTCTTCTCTTCTCTTCTCTTTTCTTCTCTTCTCTTTTCTTTTCTTCTCTCATTTTTCAAGAGAACCTGTTTTCTAAATGGTTGGAGAGACATCTTTAACCAGTTATTTAAAAACTGCAGTGTGGAGATGTGGGTCAAAAATCAACAGATGTTTTCTTTAGAGGTTTGTAAGCTATATTGTTAAAATGTGCAGATGGAAAATAAAAGCCACTGCCCAAGGCCTGGATTTGCCTTTTGACAACTGCAGAAAACAAGTTGGGTTCTCTTAAAAGCTTACTGGATTTTTAAAAGCGTTTTAGTCAGTCCAAGCAGAGGACAAGTGGATATTACTGTCAAGAAATGCGTTGCCAGTACATTGCAAAAGTTTTAAAAATAATAATAATAATTTAGGAAATAAGCTTTGGTGAATTGTTAGCAACAACAACAATCTGTATCTGTACATAATAAAGGGAGAAAAGCTGTTAATATAACTTCTAAGGGACCAGCATTATTACTGTAGACACTGTAGGAATTTCTTTCCTTGAGGACCAAAAATGCTCATTCCAGCCTGTTTTGGTCACTTTTAAAGTATTAGGAAGTATTTGTAGTGGGTTTGGGGAAAGGAGGGATGAAGAGGTAGAGTGCAGGAGATTTTTAGGGCAGCAGTACTATTCTGTATCATAGTGTAATGGTAGATACATTATACATTTATCAAAACTCATAGAATGTACAGCACTGAGAGTGAACCCTAATGTAAACGGTGGGCTTTAGGTGACAATGATGTGTCAATGTAGGTTCATTGATTGTAACAAATGTACCACTCTGGTTTGGGATGTTAATAGTGGGGGAAGGCTGTTCCTGAGGGGCGGGGAGAGGAGTGGGAGTATATGGAAACACAACTTTCTGCTCCATTTTGCTGTAAATCTAAAACTCCTCGGAAAAAAATAGTGTCTATTAACAAAAATGTTAAAGTAAGAAAACTTGTGTCTAGATAAAGTGACAAAGAGGCCTCTGGGTATTTTCATATTGATGACAGTGGCTCATTGAAGATTTGGTGACAATAGATGTTTCCTCTTTGATTCTTCCTGTATCTCATAGGCCAATTGTGGAGTGTCTGAGCTGTCATACTTTTCTTAGTCCTTGGACTCCTTTTCTGCCTTCCCACACATTTTTCTTAGCTATTTCTGGCTCTTTGCTTCTAACAGATTAGAAGAAAATCTCATGCTAAGTATTTAATGATCAGTCCTAAAACGAGTTCTTATCTTTCCATCTCCTCAAATGTCCTTGAGCATTTTAAAAATAAAAAAAAAGTCCTTATGATAAGCTATTTTAACCAACTTCATTTTTCCCTCCTATAATTTTCTAAGATGCAGAGATGTCTTAGTATACAGAGAGTTGTGGCTTTTCAGTTTGTTTTTGTTTTTAAATCATGTGCTTTGTGATTCTGAAAAATCTGTATGCTTTTTTTAATACCCTGGGGATCTGCTTCAGGTACTGTGATGCAGAAGACTTTGTGGCTGTGTCTCTCTCTGCTGTACCTTCACCCTGAGCTCTCTTCTCCTAAACAGATATTGCCTCGTGCAGTAGATGTTCCTGTTCAGAGTCATACAAAGAGGTCAGGCACTCTGGTATGTTTCATTATAGCAGCAGATTGTGAGGGTAGAGAATGATATTCATACCATTTTTCAAAATGTCTTTAGTGTTTCCTGCTGGAATTATGGTAACTGCATCTTAAATATTGTCTCTATACCTACTTCAGGGACAGAATGCCTGATTAGGAATGTCTCAGGTGTATTATTCTTTTCTTAATAGCTATTCATTATAGTAGGGAATTTTTTTCCTTTTTTTTTTTTAAGCTTATCTGAGATTTAATAAAATCTTTTATGGCAGATTTTAAACATACAAAAAAAAAAAAAAAAGAAGAGTATAACAAACTCTCCTGAACCCATTACCTACCCCTAACAAACCATCAGTGTATGGCCAATTTTGCCCTGTCTACTTCCCCCACTCACATTATTTGAAGCAAGTCCTAAATACCCCATATTTTAATATGAATTTAATATGAATTTAAATGATATGGACTTTCTTTTTTTTAAATATAACAAGACCATTTCACATCTGAAAAATTAATAATAATTCTTTCATATTACATATCCTGTCATTGTTAAAATTTCAGTTGTCTCAATGTCATAAATGATTGTTCTTTTTCGCACTTAAAAAAACAATCAGGATCTAGATAAGTTCCACACATTGGAATTAGTTGTCATGTCTTATAAGTCTGTTTTTATTTATAGGTTTCCTATCATCTCTTTTTTTCCCTTGCAATTTATGTGTTGAAGAAACTGGATTGCTTTTCTTTTAACAGTTTCTGACAGTCTTGGGGATTTTGCTGTTTCATTACTGTCGTTCTTTACCATGCTCCTTTTTCCTCTGTATTTCCTGTAAATAGTTAGTTAGGTTTAGAGGTTTAATCAAATACAGGTTTAGTCTACTTCATAGAGAAGTAGACTAAACCCTTCAGGAGGCCCAGATGTATGGCTCCTCTCTCTGTGATGCTGTAGCTGGATACTTATATCCATTAGTTGATTAGGGGTTGCAAAATGAGATATTCTAATTTTATCATTACTGTTTTCTTTCATTTTCTTTTATTGTTTTAAAACAGCTTTATTGAGATATAATTCACATACCATACACTTCATCCATCTTAACTGTACAGTTCAGTGGCTTTTTGGTATCTTCACAGACAAATTCAACCATCACCACAATTTTAGAATATTTCATCACGTCAGAAAGCAATCCTGTACCCTTTAGCTGTCTCTCACTCCCCTCAGCCCTGAGTAACCACTATTCTACTTTCTGTCTCTATAGGTTTCCCTTTTCTAGACTTTCATATTAATGGAATCATATAATTTGTAGTCTTTTATAATTGGCTTCTTTCACTTTGGTTAATATTTTCAAGTTCACCTGTGTGATGCATGCATCAGTACTTCATTCCTATTTATGACCTAATAATAGTCCATTGTATAGGTATACCACATTTTGTTTATCCATTCATGTGTTGATGGACATCTGGTGTTTTTTCACTTTTTGTCTATGATGAATAATGCTGCTGTAAACATTTGTGTACAAGTTGTTGTGTGGACATAAGTCTTTCTTTCTTTTAAATATACACCTAGGAGTGGAATTGCTGGGTCATATGACAACTCTATGTTTAACCATTTGAGGAATAACCAGACCCTTTTCCAAAGCAGCTGCACCATTCCCTCCAGCAAGTGTGTGCAAGTGTAAGCAGGTTCTGATTTCTCCACATCCTCACCAACACTTGTTTTTATCTGAGTTTTTTCCTAGCCATTCTAGCAGGTGCGGTTTTGCTTTGCATCTCCCTGATGACTAATGATTTCAAGTATGTTTTGATATGCTTACTGATTCTTTGTACATCTTCTTTGGAGAAATGTCTGTTCAGATCCTTTGCGCATTTTTAAATTGTATTATCTTTGTGTTACTGCATTGTTAGAGTTTGTATATTCTAGATACAAGTTCCTTATCAGATACATGGTTGGCAAATATTTTCTGCCATTCCATGGGTTGTCTTTTCACTTTCCTATGCTTTATTTATTACTGTAAGTCCATCTTTAAAGAGAAATTTCCCCTCATCTCTTATTACTCAATGAGACAGTTTACATAGGAAAGGCAGGATTAAAACTTGATTCTTTTCCTTTGTTTACAAGTTTTCAAAATAAGGAATTGGTTGTTTGGCATCTTCTCATAGTGCCCAATTATTTTTTAAAAAATCATGATGAAGGCAAGAATTCAAGCATTTGATGATTTCAATCCATTGTAGCTTTTATTCTTATTGATTTTCAGGTTGTCCCACCTTTAACTAATGTAAACATCTTCAGGTTGATTCCCAAGTAATTTTGATCTGAGTCTAATTGGTTGTGATAGCTTCTTTGCTGTCTAGCACAAGAAAGTGTTCTGGACTCGTCTGGTACATTTCCTGCTCCAGACCTGAAATCAGCTGTTAGTACAAGGACCCCTGGTTCTCTTTTAGTGGAGCAGTGTGGGTGCTAAGGGTGTACTTGCCACCAAGATGGTAACTGTTTATAGACCTTTTTAGTGGTTATATCAGGGAAATATGTATATGGGGTATTTTTTTTTGTTTTTAAAGTCAAAATATGTTATGCTTATAGTTCTAGTTTATATTCAGGATGTAGGGCTTTTACTTGACCTCCTTTCTCTTATATATGTGTATCTCCTTCTTCCCACACTACCACTCCCAGGTCTCAGAGTCACTAGGGACGCTAGTAATTATGTTATAGTCTATTTTCATTGCTTTATCCCACAATACCTAGAATAGCAATACCAACATTACCACCAACAGTATAATTACTGAAAATAGTTAAAAGTTTTTTTGTTTTTTTTCTTTTTGGTTGTTATTTTGCTTCTAGGTTATGTATAGTACAACCATTGTTTTTAAAAGTTACTTTAAGTAGTTTCTCTGTGCTTATACTACTAACTGGACGTATATAGCTAGGTTCGCTATGTTTTATTTTCAATACTTAGGAATTGCTTTTTAAATTTTTATTACGAAATTACTTTTAATTCTGGTAAAAGCATATAACAAAATCTACCACCTTAA